AATTAGTTCAACCTTTATGGAAGACAGTGTGGCGATTCCTTAAGAACGTAGAAATAGAAATTCCATTTGACCCAGCAATCCCATTACTGTGTATATATCCAAAGGATTATAAATGATTCTGTTATAAAGACACATGCACACAAATGTTCATTGCGGCACTGTTCACAATAGCAAAGACTTGGAACCAACCCAAATGCCCATCGATGATAGATTGAACAAAGAAAATGTGGCACATATACACCATGGAATACTATGCAGCCATAAAAAACAATGAGTTTGTGTCCTTTGTAGGGACGTGGATGAATCCGGAAACCATCATTCTCAGCAAACTGACACAGGAACAGAAAATCAAACACGGCATGTTCTCACTCATAGGCAGGTATCGAACAATGAGAACACATGGACACAGCAAGGGGAGCATCACACACTGGGGTCTGCTCGGGCGGGACTAGGGGAGGGACAGCGGTGGGTAGGGAGTTGGGGAGGGATAACATGGGGAGAAATGCCAGACATAGGTGACAGGGATGGAGGCAGCAAACCACATTGCCATGTATGTACCTATACAACAATCCTGCATGTTCTGCATGTGTACACCAGAATCTAAAGTGCAATAAAATATATAAAAACAAAAACAAACCCAAAGAGCCAATAACATCAATGTTCTTTTTAATGGTTCATCTGCCCAGTCCTTGGAATCCTATCTTTCCCTTACTCACCCTCACTCACTTAGAAACTTATGCATTAGCTTCATATACTGTTTCTTCTACATTATCCTATTTCTTCTACAGTATCCTTTCAGCCTTCTGTTTAAAAAAAAATTCTTTAGAGACAAGGTCTTGCTAGTTTGCTCAGGCTGGCCTTAAGTGAGCCTCCTACCTCTGCCTTCTATGTTTTTATCTTCTTCAGCTTATAAAAATGGATAAAGCTGCATTAAAGCACGTAGTCAAGTGTGTGTTGTGATGGTTGGTGTGATGGTTAATACTGTCCTCTTGATTTAATCGAGGGAAACGAAGCATGAATCCTGGGGGTGTCTGTGTGGGTGTTGCCAAAAGAGATTAACATTGGAGCCAGTGGGCTAAGGAAGGGAGATGCCCCCTTAATCTGGAGGGCACAATCTAATCAGCTTCCACAAAATATAAAGCAGGCAGAAAAACATGAAAAGGAGAGAGACAGGCCTGGCCTCCCAGCGTACATCTCATCTCTCTCCCCTGCTGGATGCTTCCTGTGCTCGAACAATGGACTCCAAGTTCTTCAGTTTTGGGACTCAGACTGGCTCTCCTTGCTCCTCAACTTGCAGACAGCCTATTGTGGGACGTTGTGAGCATGGAAGTTAATACTTAATGAACGCCCCTTTCTATCTATCAATCATAGGAGATATACACAACGCTATTAGTTCTGTCCCCCTAAGAGAACCCTGACTAGTACAGTTGGTAAGGTTTCCTTTTCTTCTCTGATGATGTGAGTGAAGCAGGCTTTCAGGGACTGTGAGAGCAGGGAAAGTCTTCAAGGAGATGGGCCCCTCAAGCACAGCCTGGACATCTCCCCATTCTCCTGGGAGCTGTGCCTTGGAAGGCAGGGGGGATGCTGGAGCGGAATGCCGGTCTCAGGACCTGAGAAGTTGAGGGTAGTGCTAGAAAGAGTGGAGAATGAATGGGATAAGGGGCAGCAGAGGCCTGATCTCTGAGAGATCCCACCGCTTCTAACTTTGACCATTCCTGTCTGGCTGCATTTGGGTTTCCTTTTGTCCCAAGAAAGGAAAGATGAAAAACCTTAGAGTATTGGGAGTCTAGAAGATGTTAAACCAACAGATGTTGGCCAGGCGCGGTGGCTCCTGCCTGTAATCCCAGCACTTTGGGAGGCCAAGGTGGGAGGATCACCAGACGTCGGGAGTTTGAGACCAACCTGACCAACATGGAGAAACCCCCGTCTCTACTAAAAATATAAAATCAGCTGGGCGTGGTGGCACATGCCTGTAATCCCAGCTACTCGGGAGGCTGAGGCAGGAGAATCACTTGAACCCAGGAGGCGGAGGTTGTGGTGAGCTGAGATCACACCATTGCACTCCAGCCTGGGCAGCAAGAGTGAAACTCCATCTCAAAAGAAACAAAACAAAACAAAAAACTAACAGATGTTAGTTCACTGATCACCACAACAATGCAGGGGTCAGCAGGACTCACACAGCAGCCAGGATGAAGAGGCAGCAGACCAGGTGGGCAAAGCCCTCAGCTTTCAGCTGTTTTTCTCATCCTTTACAGCACTGTAATAAGGACTAGATGAGGAAGAAAATGGGCATGAGCTGTAGCTACAGGGGAAAAGCAATAAATGACTAACAGATAAAAAGAAATGTAAGCGAAGTGCTAATATTCTAGGTATTTTTCATATTGCTGGGAAGACCAATTATCCTTATAAAAAAGGTGAAAACAAATATAACGTTGCTTAGGCAATTCTGTGGACCCTTGATAGACAGTATTTGCATAAAATCAGAATTCATGTTTTGGGGTTTTGGTTTGTTTATTTGTTTTTTGAGATGGAGACTCACTCTGTTGCCCAGGCTGGAGTGCAGTGGTGCAATCCCAGCTACTGCAACCTCCGCTCCTGTGTTCAAGCAATTGTCTTGCCTCAGCCTCCCTAGTAGGTGGGATCACAGGCGTGCACCACCATGCCTGGCTAATGTTTGTTTTTTTTTTAGTAGAGATGGGGTTTCACTACGTTGCCAAGGCTGGTTTCAAATTCCCAGACTCAAGTGAACCACCCACCTTGGTCTCCCAAAGTGTTAGGATTATAGGCGTAAGCCACTGCACCTGGCCTAGACTTTAGTCTTTAACAAATCCTGTGTGTACTCATTTTCTATTATTACACATAAATAGATGTTTCTCATTGAGAACATATGAAAAACAAATGTTTACTAAATAAATTATAAGTTACATAATATATAATAAGATTGAAACTCAAAATTGGACCCTCCTGTCTCCACTATCTGGGTATATGTTACTAGATGCACTATTTTCACAGAGACATACCCTGCTCACCCTAGCACAGTGTTGGAAATGAGTATGGAACCAGAAGGCTAGAGTCCTTGGTCTTAGTTTGAACTATTTTGCTCACTGACATGATGATTTGGGGACAAGTAACTTAGATTCTGAACCTGCTTTTATCTATAAAAGTACTCTAAACCTGGCACGGTGGCTCACACCTGTAATCCCAGCACTTTGGGAGGCTGAGGGGGGTGGATTACAACATCAGGAGTTCAAGACCACCCTGACCAGCATGGCGAAACCAGACCTCTACTCAAAATATAAAATTCAGCCGGGTATGGTGGCATGAACCTATAATCCCAGCTACTCAGGAGACTGAGGCAGAAGAATGCTTGAACCCAGGAGGTGGAGGTTGTGGTGAGCTCAGATTGCACCACTGCACTCCAGCCTAGGCGACTAAGCGAAACTCCATCTCAAAAAAAAAAAAGGTGCTCTAAACATCACTTTAATTAAAAATTAACCGGCCAGGCACAGTGACTTATGCCTGTAATCCCAGCACTTTGGGACGCCGAGGTGGGCATATTGCTTGAGCCCAGGAGTTCAAGACCAGCCTGGGCAACACAGGGAGACCCTGTCTCTACAAAAAATACGAAAATTAGTCAAGTGTGGTGTCGCATGCCTATAGTCCCCACTACTTGGGGGCCTGAGGTGGGAGGATCATCTGGTTCCAGGGAGGTAGAGGCTTCAGTGAGCTGTGGTCATGCCACTACACTTCAGCCTGGGCAACAGAGTGATACCCTAGCTAAAATAAAATAAAAGGAAAGAAAGAAAGAGAGACAACAAAACAATGTAAGAATACAGACAGAAGCACATTCTGTCACTCGTCCTCTCTATGGGCAAAGGAAACCATACTATCTGACCCCAAAGGAGAGAAATAAACAAAATCAAAATACTTATCTACCCTCTGCACATGGTCTTAGTTAAAGTAAGCGTATACACTTCATTACTGTGCACCTGGATTTTATCTCATTCTCCTAAAAAAGGCAGAAGCACATCAGTGCGGTCACTTTCACTTCATGATATAGAAGCTGTTCTGTATGCAGCCAAATCACATTTCTAACCATTGCTGAAAGAAATGACCTTCAATGAACAGGTTAGAAAATTCACTCATGATCACTTATTGAATGCCCGCTATGTGCCAGACACACTGTTAAGCATGGGGGAATCAGAGAAGTGTTGCTCTGTAACGTGTCCCAGTCTAGCGGGGTAATATATAGTCTGATACATTAGAAGATTCCATGGAAGTGTTTCGCTAATGGTATAAATCATGAGCTACATCAGAAACCCAGGAGGAATTGGTACCTCTCCTGGGAGAGCGTGGGGAGACTCTGGTAGAGGTGATGTGTGAGCGTGCTCTTGAAGGATGAGCGGAAATTTGCCAAATGAACGAGGGGAAAGGCATTTACAAGCAGAGGGAGTAGGATGGCTCGTCAAAGTGTCTGGCAATACTGAGAGATGTTGCAAAGGGTAGTGTAGCTGCAGCCCAGGTTTCATGGGGCAGAGGTAGAATGCAGTGTGGTTAGGTTGGGGCTAGTGCATGGGGAGCCTTGGTACGTCTGCCACGTGCAACTGGTAATCATCCCTAGAGGTACTGGGGGCATAGACTGTCATGCGTGGAATTACATGTGATATGTGTTGTGCTTTTAATGTAACTTGAAGTCGTAAGGAGGGACTATGTGATGTGGGAGCAGAGCAAGGAGAAGCAAGTTAGGGAGACCCAAGAGGAGGCAAGAGTGGGAACGACTGCCTTTGAGAGGCATCTTTGAAAGAGACTAGATAGCATTTGGTAAACGTTGGATGTGGAGGCTGAGGCAGCAGGAGAAACAGGGTATGACTTTGAAGTTGCTCAACACGGGAGAGATTGGGTGGCTGGCAGAACTCTTAACCCAGATGACAGGACACGGGCACAGGAGGGGTTCTCTGCTCCAGCGTGTCCCTGAGGAGTCACTCTTAACTTTGGCACAGGTGATCAGCAGCTGGGGAAGTGGATGAAGCCCACGTCAGAATGAGACCGCTGACCTCTTCATTTCCACACTTTTGGCTCAAGGTATCATTCGGCTCAACACCATTTAAAAACTATGTAGGCCAGGCATGATGGCTCACACCTGTAATCCCAGCATTTTGGAGGCTGAGGCAAGTAAATCACTTGAAGTCAGGAGTTCAAGACCAGCCTGGCCAACATGGTGAAACCCTGTCTCTACCAAAAATACAAAAATTAGCTGGGCACAGTGGCACATACCTGTGATCCCAGTTACTTAGGAGGCTGAGGCAGGAGAATCGCTTGAACCTGGGAGGCAGAGGCTACAGTGAACTGAGATGGCACCACTGCACTCCAGCCTGGACGACAGAGTGGGATTCTACCTTAAAAAAAAAAAAAGCTATGTGTGGGCTGAGGGGCCCCGGGGGTTCTTTGCGGGGGCACTGGGCAGGAGGACCTGTACATAGCACTGAGGGGCTGCCCCACAGGAAGATGAATAAGGGCTAGCTGGAGCTGTAGAGTGACCTGGGCCACTTCACCACACTGGTGGAAGATTTTGGCGTCAAAGGGGTACAAATAGAGGAGATCTATGACCTTCAGAGCAAATGCCGGGCCCTGTATATGGATTTATCCTTCTGTTCAAATGGATAAAAAAGCGGCAGTCCCAGTGAAAGGTCTTTACCTTGGTGGATGATACACCCATGATTGATAATGATATCGTGAATAATGTTCTTTGCCCACCAGCTGATACCAAACTCTTGTGCCACTCACGCCTTGCTGAGCGTGCTCCTGAACCACAGCAACCTGGACGTGGGACCCACCCTGAGTCGCATGAAAGACTTCACCAAAGGCTTCAGCCCTGAGAGCAAAGGATATGCAATTGGCAATGCCCCAGGGTTGGCGGGCACATAATAGCCACACCAGGCCCCAGTCTGTGCCACCTCCCTGTGAAGCAGAATGGCCTTAGTGCAGTGCAGACCATGGAGCCATTCCACTTTGTCAGCCATGTGCCCAGCAGAGGCCGGCTCTTTGAGCTGGATGGGCGGAAGTTCTACCCCACTGACCACGGGCCTTCAGGGGAGGATGAGGAGTGAACAGACAATGCCTGGAAGGTCATCGTGCGTGTATCAGCCTCGCCACTGCAGGGGAGCCCTACCACGACACCATCTGCTTCAACCTGATGGCAGTGGTGCCCGACCACAGGATCAAATATGAGGCCAGGCTGCACGTGCTGAAGGTGAACCGTCAGACAGTACTAGAGGCTCTGCAGCAGCTGATAAGACTGACACAGCCAGAGCTGATTCGGACCCACAGGTCTCAAGAATCACAGCTGCCTGAGGAGTCCAAGCCAGGCAGCAACAAGTCCCTGCTGGTGCTGGAGACAAACAGGGCCCCTGCAGCCTCGGAAGGCACACAGGTGGTACAGAGGAGGCGGCTGGTTCATGTGTACAATCCCCAACCCACAGTTCTCCCAGCAAACCCAAGCTGGTGGTGAAGTCTCCAGGCAGCAGCCTCAGTGGGGTTGGGTTCCCCTCAACCCCACTCCCATTGTCCAGCGGCTGCTAGCTTTTCTAGACAGTCATAAGTATGCCAAGTCCCCATGCAGGAGGAAGAAGACCTGGTGGCAGGTGGGGGCCACAGCGGATTTCCAGCCCGCCCACCCCAGCAGTACTCAGATGACGAGGATGACTATGAGGATGATGGGGAGGATGACGTGCAGAACCCCAACTCTGCCATTAGGTATAAGCGGAAGGGAACAGGGAAGCCAGGGGCACTGAGCCGTTCTGCTGAAGGGCAGCTCAACACCATCAACATCTTGGCTGAGAAGCTCAGAGTCCCAGCAGGACCTCTCAATTCCTCTGTCCATCAAGACTAGCAGCGGGGCTGGGAGTCCGGCAGTGGCAGTGCCCACACACTCGCAGTCCTCGCCCACCCCCAGCAATGAGAGTTTGGACACAGCCTCCGAGATGGGCAGTGCTACAACTCACCACCGCACTCGCCCATCCACTTGACCAACCTGACGTGGGCCTCCAGCCCTGCCACCTCCCACATCTCCACGGTGCTTTTTGGAGAGGATGACACAGCCTGCTGCATGTTGACTGCATAGGCTACGGCCGTGCTGTCTGCGATCTGGGTCCTGTCATCAGCACAGGCCTCCTGCACCTGGCTGGGGATGGGGTGCTGAGTCTCCTGGCACTGACAGAGGGTGGGAAGGGTTCCTCATCCTCCATCAGACCGATCCACGGCAGCCAGCAGTCCAGCAGCCCTGTGGAGGAGACCGTGGAAGCCACGGACGGCAGAGAGAAGACAGGGCTGGTGAGGCCTGGAGAGCCCTCAGGTGGGGAGAAGTACTCACACAAGGAGCTGCTGGCACTGCTGAAGTGTGTGGAGGCTGAGATTGCAAACTATGAGGCGTGCCTCAAAGAAGGGATGGAGAAGAGGAAGAAATTCAAGACTGATGACCAGAGAAGGACCCACCACTACGATGAGTTCATCTGTACCCTCATCTCCATGCTGGCCCAGGAAGGCATGCTGGCCAACCTAGTGGAGCAGAGCATCTAGGTGCAGCAGTGCCAAGGGGTCAGCATCAGCCAGCTCCGCAAGCAGCAGAAGCCTGACCCGCAGAAACGCTCTCACTCCTACAAAGCCAAGCACCAGGGAGGACTGCTGGCCCTGACTCTGCAGCCCACTCTTGCCACGTGGCCCTCACCAGGGTCCCTCCCTGCTCCACTTCCCCTTTTCCCAGTATTACTGAATAGTTCCAGCCAGAGAGCCCAGGCCCGGGGAATGGGAGGAACCAGGACAGATTCCCTGCATCATGCCCTGAGGCCTGGCACAGGGCACATCAGCCCCGTTGTGCTCAAGAAGCAGCATCTGGAGTTGGGGCACAGTGGGGTACTGCAGCTTCCTCCAGAGCCGGTTGTGGAGCAACAGGACCTGGCCCTTCTGCCTGGACAGCAGAATATACATTTTGCCTACCAAAGACATCTATTTTTCTGGGCTCCAACCCATCTTGCCACCATAGGTTCCTTCCTGACTGTGCTTTCTCTCCTAGCAGCTGTCCTGGTTGGCCCAGGTCCTTGTATCATGCCAGGGTCCCAGCTAGGGGCCTGGGTGGACACCAGGCCTTGCTGTTCTAGCCCCAGCCACCAGCCTGTCCCTGTTGTAAGGAAGACAGCCCTACTCTTCATTCCTCTTAGGAGAGTGCCAAACTCAGGGGCCCAGCACTGGGCTGGGTTGGGAGTGGGCTGTCCCAGTGGGGGTTGAGCGAGCAGCCTGCTGGGATCCCACGGCCTGAGCGGAGCATGTGGGAACTGTTCAGCACCCTGTGAACTGTCTTCCTTGTTCTAGCCAGGCTGTACCAGCTCCACAGCAAGGTTCTGGGGCTCTTTGTCTTCAGTGTTGTGGCCCTAGCTATGGGCCTAACTTGGGCTCCAGGTCTCTGTCCCTGGAGCTAGGAGCTCAGAGGAGCCTCTGCCCAGCCCCTCAATATGACCATGTCTCGCTCCTCTTAGGGGTAGCAGAGACAGGGCTGCTTACAGGAAGTCTGCACCACTCAGCTCTCCCTGCTACTCCAGCCTCCTCCCTCTGCAAGGCACTCAGGATGGGGGACAGCAGGATCAAGACAACCAGTTGGAGCCCCTGTGTTCCAGAGGGCCTGATGCCAAGGGGTAATGGGCCCAGCACTGCCTCTGGAGCCCAGGCCCCAACACAGCCCCATGGCCTCTGCCAGATGGCTTTGAAGGTGACCCAAGCAGGCCCCTTGTCTGTACACAGTGATTGAGTGGGGGTTGCTGGCAGGTATGGCAGCTGCCTCTGGGCTGAGCACAGCCTGACCCCTCTAGTCCCTATAAATACCGGATCAATGAATGAATAAAACTCTCCCAAGAATCTCCTGATGAAAAAAAATTTAGCTGGGCATGTTGGCACATGCCTGTAGTCACAACTACCTGGGGGGGCTGAGCGAGGAGGATCACTTGAGCTGGTGAGGTGGAGGCTGCAGTATGCTGTGTTTGCACCACTGCACTCCAGCCTGGGTGACAACGCAAGACTCTATCTCAAACAACGACAACAAAAAGCTTTCTAGAACATTTCTGATCTACTGCAAAGCTCTTTTTGGTTACACCATGTATCGTTCCAGTTATAAGAATGGAAAAAGTGGCAACTCTGGAGCTAGGCTATCTGGGCAAATGACCTCCAGCAAGGCCTTTAAACTTCTCCATGCCTCAGTTTCCTCATCTGCAAAATAAGGATTAAAATTCTTCAAAAGGTTGTTGTAGGATTGAAATGAGTTAGTTTATGTAAAAGTGAACCTGGCCTATAGGGTAAGTACTTTCGAAGTGTTTGCTATCAATAAGTAATAAGTCATAGAATACTCTACTAAAAGTGGTACAAATATTAGAGATTTATTATTGCAGAACAAGATGGAAGTTGGTAGTTCCAGGGTTAGTCCTGTCAATTAACCAAGGCTTCCCAGACCAGACTCTTCCTGTTCCCACTGCCACGCTCAGTGGCGGGAGGCCGCCATAGCTCTCACATTGTCAGCATCCCAAGCATGAAATAAGGGGATGTGGGCAAAAAGTGCTTTTCTCCATGTGCAGCCTTCTCTTTACAAGCAGGAAAATCTCTCCTAGAAGCCCCTGGTAGGTTTCCTTTCAGCTAAAACTGGGTCACAGGCTCATCCCTGAACCTGGAACCTCCTACCTGTAACAAATGAGGCAGAGGCAGGACTGGGGCTGGCTGCTGGGTAGGTGACCAGTCCCACCACAGTGTGGGAGCCAAAGACTTCCGAAGGTACCTCACTCAGGCCAGGGGTAACTGAGAAACAGGCTCATAGAGTACTCATCCAGGAGTCCTCAGGTTTTTTAAGAGCAGCTTTTTTTTTCTTGAGATGGGCTCTCCCTCTGTTGGCCAGGCTGGAGTGCAGTGGCATGATCATGAGTCACTGCAGCCTTGACCTCGTGGGTTCAAGTGATCCTCCCACCTCAGTCTCCCAAAGGGCTGGGATTACAGACGTGAGGCATTGTGCCTAAGAGTAGCTTTTTTTTTTTTTAGATGGAGTTTCACTCTGTCACCCAGGCTGGAGTGCAATGGCATGATCTCGGCTCACCACAATGTCTGCCTCCTGGGTTCAAGTGATTCTCCTGCCTCAGCCTCCGGAGTAGCTGGGATTACAAGCATGTGCCACCACGCCCTGCTAATCTTGTATTTTTAGTAGAGACAGGGTTTCTCCATGTTGGTCAGGCTGGTCTTGAACTCCTGACCTCAGGTGGTCCACCTGCCTTGGCCTCCCAAAGTGCTGGGATTACAGGCATGAGCCACCATGCCCAGCCAGTAGTTTTTTTTTTTTTTTTTTAAGACAGAGTCTTGCTCTGTCACCAGGCTGGAGTGCAGAGGTGTTATCTTGGCTCACCACAATTCCACCTCCCAGGTTCGAGCAATTCCCCTGCCTCAGCCTCCTGAGTAGCTGGGACTACAGGCACATACCACCAAGAGTAGCTTTTTAACCTAGGTCAGTATCGTGTTGGTAAAATACAGACAGAGGATATGTTTGAGCAGAAGGACCTTCCTCATCTTCTCACCTGTTCTAGGCTGCTACCTTCTGTTTCTACAAACCAAAGGAGGGGGCTCATACTCAATGCGCCTTGTCTGAAAGCCTGACCAGGCTAGTCACTGCAGAATTTCTCTAAGGGATTCCTCTACCCTGACTGCCCTTCCAGCAGCTGCACCCTCTGTCCTAGGGGCAGTAAGTAGAGAGAGCTGTGTGAGAAGAGCACTCTTCCCACTCCGGATGTCCCCCTACATCCTACATCCCCCCCCCGCCCTGCCACTGCCAGTTTGGGCCTGTAGCATCACTCATCCCGACCGCTATCGTGTGGTCTCCCCATCACCACAAAGACTGCGGCAAGGTGGACAGAGAATTCCAAGAGAGCCAGGAAAATGCCCTTATAAACCACCACAGAAAGCCTTATTTCTACTCTCTAAATCCGTTAATAAAGAGAGGAGACATTTTAAAATTCCAAGGCACTTGGTTACTAATCTGATTCTGGCCTACATGGGGATATTCAATAAATACTTGTTAAATTAAATTGACTCAAGGTTTTATTTATTCAACCTGCTTAAAGCTTATGTAAACCCCTTGGAGATTTGTGTCAAGCTGTTAAGTTGGAAAATATAAGAAAAGTATTTTCAATAGACCAGCTTTCCTCTTAATGTACTTTACGAGCTTAGTGTAAACCAGGGGAAAGGGGGAGGGGTACCAGGAGAGCAGAGGGGACGGAGGTGAAGAGGAAGGAGAAGAAAAAAACGCTTTTCCTCTCATTTCCTGCGTTTCTCTTAATTGCTGTGCTTATTAACCAGCTACTGCCCTCTAGTGCTCACTGTGTTAAGTTCACATTTGAATTTTATTTTTATCTTTAAAAGCTCTGGTGACAGGCAGGGCGTGATGTCTCATGCCTGTAATCCCAGCACTCTGGGAGTCCAAGGTGAGCGATCACAAGGTCAGGAGATCCAGACCATCCTGGCCAACGTGGTGAAACCCTGTCTCTACAAAAAAACAATACAAAAAAATAGCTGGGCATGGTGGCAGGTGCTACTCGGTAGGCCGAGGCAGGCAAATTGCTTGAACGAGGGAGTCAGAGGTTGCAGTGAGCCAAGATCGCACCACTGCAGTCCAGCCAGGCAACAGAACAAGAATCTGTCAAAAAAAAACGAGAACGAACAAAAACCTCTGGTGACACTTGTAAGGGACAAAATGTCCTGTTTTGCAGATAAGCAAATTGAAGTCCAGATAAAACAGGTGTCAGACTGACCCAGAGACTTCCAGACGCTTTGTCACCTCATCTATAACTAATCTGGAAGACTTTATTAAAAGTCTTTCTCAGAAATTTTAATTGCTAACCAGTAAAAATTGTAGCATAATCTTAGTGCTATTTATTATTTCCAGTGTTGTTCTAAATTAAGATCAGGCTGACTGCTGGTCAGTTTAGGTAAGGGTATAAAATAATATTGGTATATGTTTAACTTAGCACAAGTTTAGAAAATGTCTATAATACTTTTTAAAAAACGTTAACTAGAACAGACCCGAAGTGGATTTGGCCATTTATCAGAACTGACTTGTCATTGTCTCCACGTAGGCTTACATTCTGCTAGAATTCTCCCAAATGAAGCTCTTTGCTCACAAATGGGAAAAAGGGGCTTTGTCATTTTAACTTGGAACATATTTTCATCACATAATCATTTTGCTAGTGGAAATAAATGGAAAGTTATCCAGCTGAACACGCTACTTACAAGAACATTACTGGGTAACAAAAGATTTGTTCAAATATTTCATTGGAAGGAACTCCATCTGGAATAAGTTTTATTGGAATTCATATAAAAAGAAAAGCAAATCCATTAGAAATTGATATAAACAGTTGATTTTATCTGGAACCAAGAATATTAATGAATTGGAACCTAGATGTCCTAAGCTGCTTCTTTGCATAAAAGCCAGTCGAATTTTGACATTTCTATGGCAATTATACTTTATTAGTTTAGGTAGCACTTTGTTTTCAGCTGGTATTTTAGAGACAGATTACCCAAATTACCTAATTTGGTTCCCACTTCACTCCTCCTCAAAAACCAAACAGAAAGAAAGCAGAAGGGGGCATTTTCCTGTCTTCGAAATACAACCTCCTGCTAAGACCAGCAAGTCAGCAGGAACTGACTGCACTTGGGCTTCTAGTTACTAAATGAATTGAGACACTCAGTTCCATCCTTAGATGTCCACATAGATCCCATTGATCAAATAATCAAGTCTTGAGTAACGTTTCCTGCGGAGCGATTCCGAGAGGATTCTACCCAAGAGGACGAGGCCTATCACCAGGAACAGGACACCAAAGAGCAGGGACCCGATGAGAAGCCATTTTTCAAATGGAATGCCATACTGATTTTCAGGAACGCTGCCCTGGGAGGAACTGCCTACGCTGGCGTCCCGACCTTCCCAGGAAGCAGTTTCATTTGTAGTGGAAGACTCCGCATTTGACGTAGAAAATGCGGTAGGATTATACACATTCCCCATGTTCAAAGTCAGGTTGGAGGTTTCTGTAAATGGTATCGTTCCTAGGCTGCCTTTCGAGTCTGTAGGTACCTGAAAGGTGGTAGTCAGGACTGCTGTTGTAGCCATCGCCTGGAGTGTAGCCACAGCCCGTGTAAAAACTGTAGAAATGAGGGTCGTGGGAGGCTGAGAAGTGACAGTGGTTACAGGTGGAGCTGTGGTGGCCAGCTGTGGCTGGGAAGTCCCAGAAGGTGCCGCTGAAGCATTGGTGGGTAGAAGGACGGCGGGCTTTGGAGTGGCCGAGGTGGTAGGTGGAGAAGTAACTGCCACTGTAGTTGGGAATGCACTCACATTTCCAGGCAGCAGATGAGCTTTTTCTTCCCTGGAGGAAAACTGTGAACTCTGAGAATGGCCTTTTTCTTTAGAAACAAGGAGCTGGGCACTTGCTTCGTCAATCTTAAATAATTTCTCCAAGTGATCTGAGGATCCAGACTTCTGAGACAGTGTGTCTTTCCATGAGATATTGGTGGGCTTCGAATAACCTGTGTGATGATGGGCTGGGGGAGTGACCGCTTGTGAAGACTGGCCATGTAAGAGAGAATCTTCCTGTGCTGACTCTCGGCTTGGCATATCAGTTCTGGTCAAAGATTGAAAATCTGAAAATGTTTGGGTAACAAAAGGAAAACTTATATAACTCCATGCTAAGGTAGGTTAAAAAAATACAAACATCGGCTTGCTCAAAAGATCACCAAACTGGCTGGGAATGTTGGCTCACACCTATAATCCCAGCACTTTGAGAGGCTAAGGCAGGAGGATCATTTGAGGCCAGGAGTTTGAGATTAGCCTGGACAATATAGGGAGATCCTGTGTCTTAAAAAAAAAAAAATCTCCAAACTGTTGATACTTGACATTTCATTGAAATGTGCGCAAAATGGAAAAACACAAATTGCTAAATGAGAATCTGATAACACCGCCTCTCTACCAGATGCTGTGGTTTATTTCTAGTATGATAGGACAGAAGAGAAGAGAAATGTGTGGAGGAGGACCAGGCGAACTAAGGAAAGGGTGGGAGTCGCACAGCAGAGAAGCTGGAGGGGCTCGGCAGGGCAGCAAGAGGCTTAGGAAGATGGAGAGGGTTCTCCATCTTCCTAAGGGGCCAAGGCCAGGGAAGAAAGTGGGCCGGAGGGTGACCTGAGCAGGAGAGGACGGCGGGGAGAATGTGGGGGAAGGTGTGGGCTTCTGCTAACTAAGACAGAGACGACGATTCGGGACCAGGTAATCATAAAGAGATGTTTCAGTGGGAGCATGGGGCAGGCAAGAAACGTATGTGGAAGCCGTGGGAAATGAGACGATAGAGCAGGAGAGGAGGAAGAATCCCTGTGATGTGCCTCTGACAGGGAGGAGGAGGAGGAACCAGGCAGGGTCTGGTCTCGCCTCTGAGCACTGAGGCCACAGCAGCAGCAGCAGGTTGAGGACTCCTTCGAATAACAACAACAAAATGGACATATCGTCCCAGCACTGTGCTCAGAGGACAGAGGCTATCTGGGAGATTTCACTAGGACTCTCAAAAATTAGAATTTTGGAGCCAATATCTTAGGTCATGAGGATGATGGGAACAATATTTGAAATCATGATGACGACGCTGTAGACATATAGAGCAGAAAACCATACAGTCGCGACGCCTGCTGAGGAGAAACCAGCCCCACATCCTGCTCCTGCTCCAGGAAGCTTAGAATTTTTCTCCTGATCACACACCCCATTTATCACAGCTCAAACTGGATAGGCCCGTCCAAGCACTCAAGTGCAAAGAATGACCATGTGAGTTGCTGTGTATTACTCCGCTGCTAGGCTAACCATCTCACGAAGATTAGAACTGCAGAAAACACAAGGAAAGAAGCAGAGGAATATCCCGGCATTTCTCAGTCCACTCACTCCTGCTCTTTTCCTTTCTCTTCCTCAACTCACCTCCATGCCAGATTTGAAACTGGTCCTCAGTCTCCTCTTTCCTACAAACAGATCCAGAGGCAGCTTTGGATTAGTGCCCTCTTGTGACTATTCTCTAAGGCCTTACCCCTCTAAGAGGTCCTTTGCACTGTCACTTATTCATTCATCTAGGACAGGGCTCAGCAAACTATGGCCTGATGGACAAATCTGGCCTACCATCTGTCTTTGTATGACTTGCAAGCTAAGAATGGTTTTTACTGTTTTTTTTTTTTTTTAGGTTGGAGTCTCACTGTCGCCCAGGATGGAGTGCAGTGGGGTGATCTCAGCTCACTGCAACCTCCGCCTCCCGGATTCAAGTGATTCTCCTGCCACAGTCTCCTGAGTAGCTGGGATTACAGGCGTGTGCCACCACACCTGGCTGATTTTTGAATTTTTAGTAGAGATGGGTTTCACCATGTTGGCCAGGCTGGCCTCAAACTCCTGACCTCAGGTGACCCACCCGCTTCAGCCTCCCAAAGTGCTAGGATTTCAGGGGTGAGCCACCACACCCAGCCAGTTTGTACATTTTTTAATGGCTGAAAAATAATCAAAAGAATATTGTATGACACAGGAAACGTATATGAAATTCAAATTTCTGTATTCCTAAACCTAAAATACTGATGTGAAAAGCCTAAAATGCTATTTGGCCCTTGGCAAAAAAGAGTTGGTGGACATTTGCTCTAGGATATAGTATTATACTCTAAAATAGATTTGGGTCAAATGAAATATATTTAAATATATATATATATATATTTTGAGAAAGGGTCTTGCTCTGTCACCCAGGCTGGAATGCAGTAGCACAAACACACCTCACTGCAGCCTCGACTTTCCAGATTCAAGCGACCCTTCTACCTCAGCCTCTTGAGGAGCTGGGACCACAGTGCCATACCACCACACCCAGCTAATTTTGGTATTTTTTGTAGAGACAGAGTTTTGCCACGTTTCCCAGGCTGGTCTTGAACTCCTGGAATCACGCAATCTGCCCACCTCGGCCTCCCAAAGTGTCAGGATTACAGGTGTGAGCCATCATGCTTGGCCTATAATTCATTTTAAAGTTAAAAAAGAAAAAAACTATTTATGTAAACACTCTGTGATATGTAGGAAATCAAAACTTCAATATGGCCATTAACAAGAATGACCAAAACAGCTGTTTTCTTTCTCAAGCACACAAACTCATAAATAAAGCAAAGCTAGAGCTGGTCTCACTTCTTGATAAGATTCCTCTGTTGGCAGAGGTCCTAGAACCACACGGGAGTCCTCCACACCTGCTCCGTTTGCCTCACCCACTCATGTTTGCCGTTAGGGCGTGGTACGTCTCCTCAGTCACGCAGAGACGAGCCACAAAGAGGCCTGCAAAGCAGCTCTGCACCCTTAACTCCTCTTTGGAGTTTTCTTTTCAAACAACTTCACTGAGTCGAAAAATGAGAGACTATGACTTGGACCCCAGCTGAGCAAACAGACTCCCAATTTATTCTATGTCTGAATTCTCCCATTCTTCCAGTCCTTGGTAAAAATGGCATGCCATGAAACTGCCAACACCAACAGTAAAAGATTAAATAATACCAAATGGCAATAACCATTCATTCATTATAGAATGAACCAAACCCGCCATTGTCATTCAAACTCCTGGTGTGTACATATTAGTCAGCTGGATATAGGAAATAGAGGCCGGGCAAGGTGGCTCACGCCTGTAATCCCAGCACTTTGAGAGACCGAGGCAGGATGATTGACTGAGGCCAACCTGGGCAACATACTGAGACCCCCCATTGCTACAAAAAAATTTTAAAAATTAGCCCGGCATGGTGGTGCCTATCTATAGTCCCAACTACTCAGGAGGCTGAATGAAGAAGACTGCTTGAGCCCAGGATGAGGCTGCAGTGAGCCACTATTGCACCACTGCTCTGCAGCCCGGGCAAGAGAGTGAGACACTGTCTAAAAAAAAAAAAAAAAAAGAAAGAAAAGAAAAGAAAAAGAAATAGAGTTCTTCCAGAAACACACACCACCAAACAGATATTCATATTTAATTTCATTCCAGGCAGGAGGCAGATAATTCACTTTTAATGGGGTAACCTGAATTCATCAACATGGACAGATTCCTAAACAGAATCACAAATACAACTTGCACATATCCTGGAGATATAAACAGTCCTTTGCATACTATGTCCAGGATTGGTGCCACGTTGCCATTAGATGTCCATCAACGTGCTCAGGGGCTGGCACTGCCCCCTGGTGGCTGCCATAAGAACCATTTAATTCTATTTCACTTTATTACCATCACGCTCGCCCCAAGATTTACGTACATGCCAAATTCCCCTTTTCCCCATTTCCATTGGCAAAGATCTTCACCCCACACATTCTCTTTTATAGGTGCATTATAAAAGCAACAACACTACAGAAGTGTTAGAAAACAAATTCTGCTATAATTTCTATTATCATATTTCAACAGCAGTTATTCACACAAACACTGTGTTCGTCATGCTCCTGTTTCAGGGGCTGTTTGACACATCAAGTTTCCCTGGCACATGAGCAAAACTCAGACACAGCCTCCGCCAGAGGGCAAAGCCATGTCAACACCCAGGCACAATGCACAGTAACATTCCCCAAAGCACCTAGTACTTAATGCAGTCAAGAGAGAGCCCTAGATTCCATCCCGCAACCCTGAAACTACTCCTCAAGTTTCCCCTAATGCAGCAAATGGCATCACCATTCACCTAGATGCTCAAAGCAAACACTAGGACTTGGCCTTGATGGTTCTTTTTCTGGTCCCCCAGACCCACACCACCAGCAGATCCTGCCAACTCTACTTTGGAACAGTAGGATCTGTTCCTCTCTCCATCTTGCCCATGACTCCTTGTGTCTCATCCATGGCTCCTAACCATCTTTCAATTTTCACTTTGCTGCTGTGTCACTGTTCATTTCCAAGAGGGCAGCTACTGTGAGCTTTGAGAAATCACCTTTAAAACACCACATAACAGGTCTGCTTTAAAATTCCTTCCAGGCATGGCAACTCACGCCTGTAATCCCAGCATTTGGGAGGCTGAGGTGGGCGGATCACTTGAGGTCAGGAGTTCGAGACCAGCCTGGCCAACATGACAAAACTATTTGTACTGAAAATACAAAAATTAGCCAGGCATGGTGATGCTCGCCTGTACTCCCAGTTACTCAGGAAGCTGAGGCAGGAGAATCACTTGAACAAGGAGGCGGAGGTAGCATTGAACTGAGATTGCACCACTGCACTCCAGCCTGGGTGACAAAGACTCCAACTAAAAAAAAAAAAGTAAAAATAAAACTCTCAACAGCTTCCCACCACACACGTAAGATAAAAACTCCCAGCTGGGCGTGGAGGCTCACACCTGCAATCCCAGCACAGTGGGAGGCTGAGGTGGGTGGATTACCTGAGGTCAGGAGTTTGAGACAAGCCTGGCCAACATGGTGAAACCCCGTCTCTACTAAAAATACAAAAATTGGCCGGGCGCGGTGGCTCAAGCCTGTAATCCCAGCACTTTGGGAGGCCGAGGCGGGTGGATCACGAGGTCAAGAGATCGAGACCATCCTGGTCAACTAGGTGAAACCCTGTCTCTACTAAAAATACAAAAATTAGCTGGGCACGGTGGCACGTGCCTGTAATCCCAGGTACTCAGGAGGCTGAGGCAGGAGAATTGCCTGAACCCAGGAGGTGGAGGTTGCGGTGAGCCGAGATCGCGCCATTGCACTCCAGCCTGGGTAACAAGCGTGAAACTCCGTCTCAAAAAAAAAAAAAAATACAAAAATTAGCCAGGCATGGTGGCATGCACCAATAGTCCCAGCTAGGTAGAGGTTGCAGTGAGCTGAGATCGTGCCACTACACTCCAGCCTGGGCAACAGAGTGAGACTCTGTCTCGAAAAACAAAACAAAACAGAAAACTCTCTCCTGTGACTTACAGGGTGTTACATGATCTGGCCCTCCCTGCCGTTTTTTATCGCTCTCTGTATATTTCACAGTGAGTCAACCAGCTGGGATTGAAGTGTTGGTTTTTCAAACACTCCATATATCATTCTGCCTGAAGACCTGGGACCTGGAAGGTATTCCCCGATCTCCTCGCATCTGGCTCGTTGCTGTTCAGATCTCCGTTTAGGGGTTACATCTTCACTTACTGATTGTCTATTTTAGGGTCTTGTCTCAATTCTCTGTATGGCACTTGTGACTATATTTTTCTTGATTATTTATTTATTATTGTTATTGTCTCTCTCCCTTAAAACACAAGTTCCGGTAGGGAGAACCTTGTTTTCCTATTTTTTTTAGAGACAGAGTCTCACTCTGTCATCTAGGCTAGATTGCAGTGACATGAACACAGTTCACTGCAGCGTTGACCTCCTGGGCTCAAGGGATTCTCCCACCTTGCCTCCTAAGTAGCTGAGACTATAAGCTCATGCCACCATGCCCGCCTAATTTTTAAAATTTTTTTAGAGATGAAGTCTCACCATGTTTCCCAGACTGGTCTCCAACTCCTGGGCTCAAGTGATCCTCCAGCCTCCCAGAATGCTGGCATTATAGGCATGAGCTACCATACTCAGCCAGAACCTTGTTTTTCATGTGTAGGGTTGTATCCTTAGGGCATAAAAAGTACTTGGCACATAGAGGATGCTTAATAATGTTTGTTATTTATTGAATAAATGAACAAGTAGAATATTAAAAATCAGGAATATGATGATAACAACTTTCTAAAACTTAAATAAAAGAAAAATTGATACAGGGTGCAGTGGCTCATGGCTATAATCCCAGCACTTTGGGAGGACGAGGTGGACGGATCACCTGAGATCAGAAGTTTGAGACCAGCCTGGCTAACATGGTGAAACCCCATCTCCACTAAAAATACAAACATTAGCCTGGCTAATTTTTTTGTATTTTTAGTAGAGATGGGGTTTCACCATATTGGCCAGCTGGTCTTGAATTCCTGACCTTGTGATCCGCCCACCTTGGCCTCCCAAAGTGTTGGGATTACAGGCGTGAGCCACTGTGCCTGGCCAATAAATATTTCTTGAATGAATTTCCTTTCAGGTCTAGACAACAAAATCTGGTGAGTTTGATTTCAGACGAGATTGGGTGCGTTCAAGGAGGTGTGGTCATAAACAAGTTTGATTTCAGATAATGTGATTATAATGGGAACTTAATAACGAATATACTAGAATTTTTTTTTTTTTTTTTTTTTTTTTTGAGACTGAGTTTCGCTCTTGTTACCCAGGCTGGAGTGCAATGGCGCGATCTCGGCTCACCGCAACCTCCGCCTCCTGGGTTCAGGCAATTCTCCTGCCTCAGCCTCCTGAGTAGCTGGGATTACAGGCACGCGCCACCGTGCCCAGCTAATTCTTTGTATTTTTAGTAGAGACGGGGTTTCACCATTGACCAGGATGGTCTTGATCTCTTGACCTCATGATCCGCCCGCCTCGGCCTCCCAAAGTGCTGGGATTACAGGCTTGAGCCACCGCGCCCGGCCTTAGAATTTTCCATATTAAGATGTGACCCCTTTTGGTAGTTTCATTTAGACTCTCGTAGAAAATCTTGCACATAAACCATATTCTTACATTATTCTAATCACAAAAGAAGAAGTATAATGCTTTTATTACCTCTACTTATCCTGTAAGTCATGAGTCCTTTTGCTGGTTTCAGTGGACAGGCTTCCTCACTGGGACAGGAAAATAGGTAGCAGTTGGGTTGTCTAGCTGCTTTTCGCGTGTCGAAGATCATCAAGTTACATGCTTTGTCCCCTGTAACGAAAGGTCTCATAAGCATGATTTTGAAATGAGATTTTCTGAAGAGCAGGGCAAGCAGGAAAAACTTCACTTCTTCTGGAGTCCAACACAAACACCTTTGTCCATTTCGTTCCCTTGCTTGCTGACTGCTGAATCATTTCCTTTTCCTTAGTTTAGTTGCTTAAGGCAACTTTTAAAAACATTGGGTTTAGCTCTTTTTTTTTTCACAAGATGGCACTGAAGGCGAAGTAGGAAGCTCCTGTCCCTCCTTAAGTCCAAGCCAAAGCAAAGGCTTTAAAGGCCAAGAAGGCCGAGCCGAAAGGCGTCCACAACCACACACACACACACACACACACACACACATACACACAGACCTGCATGTCGCCTCCAGCAGCCCCAGACGCCCGAAAGGAGTCCACAACCGCACACACAAACACACACACACACACGCACAGACCTGCATGTCGCCTCCAGCAGCCCCAGACGCCCGAAAGGAGTCCACAACCGCGCACACACACACACACACACACGCACAGACCTGCATGTCGCCTCCAGCAGCCCCAGACGCCCGAAAGGAGTCCACAACCGCGCGCACACACACACACACACACACACACGCACAGACCTGCATGTCGCCTCCAGCAGCCCCAGACGCCCGAAAGGAGTCCACAACCGCGCGCGCGCACACACACACACATACACGCACAGACCTGCATGTCGCCTCCAGGAGCCCCAGATGCTGTGGCTCCCGAGGCAGCCCAAATGTCCTGGGAAGAGCATCCCCACAAGCTTGACCACTTCTGTGCTATGAAGACAGAAGACAACCACACACTGATTGATGTTCACTGTGGATGTCAGGGCCGAAAAGCACCAAACAGACTGTGAAGAGGCTCTCTCACACTGATGTGAGCAAAGTCACACCCTGAGCAGGCCTGACGGAGAGAAGGAGGCATGTGCTCACAATGCTTTGCATGTTGCCTCCAAAACTGAGATTTTTTTTTTTTTTTGAGATGGAGTTTCCCTCTTGTTACCCAGGCTGGAGTGCAATGGCGCGATCTCGGCTCACCGCAACCTCTGCCTCCTGGGTTCAGGCACTTCTCCTGCCTCAGCCTCCCAAGTAGCTGGGATTACAGGCATGCGCCACCATGCCCAGATAATTTTTTGTATTTTTAGTAGAGACGGAGTTTCACCATGTCGACCAGGATGGTCTTGATCTCTTGACCTCATGATCCACCCGCCTCGGCCTCCCAAAGTGCTGGGAATACAGGCGTGAGCCACCAAGCCTGGCCACTTCCTCACTTTTCACTCTTAACTATAATTTCTGGTGTCTTTTCTTTTTTGAGTCAGGGTCTTGCTCTGTCATGCAAACTGCAGTGCAGTGGTATAATCACAGCTCACTTCAGCCTTGATCTCCTGGGCTCAAACAGTTCTCCCACCACCTCAGCCTCCCCAGTAGCTGGAACTACAGGTGTGCACTGCCACCCTCCCCAGTAGCTGGAACTACAGGTGTGCACTGCCACATTCAGTGAATTTTTTGTTTTTTGTAGGGGCAGGGTCTCACTATGTTGCCTAGGCCGATCTTGAACTCCTGGGGTCAAGCAATCCACCCCCCTCAGCCTCCCAAAGTACTGGGATTACAGGCATGAGCTACCGCACCCAGCTGCTGGCTTCTGTTTCTGTTCCTGTTGTGTCCAACAGAAATTAAACTCTCTACTCATCGTGGCCTAGATTTGATTTTGTCCTCAATTCGGTACAGTCTCACATCTTTGGGAGGTCAGCATATCCCTATTCGGGTTGAAGGTTAAGAGGCACATAGGCTAATCATTAAAAACACTCGCTCTGTTGACCATTGCCGCCACTGCTGCTAGTCAGGCAATGGTGAGAGATCAACTCCAGCTCCCCAGAAGGGAAAGAAGCTTTAGTTAGCCTCGGCAGGGGGTGTATCATGTCATATCCCCATTACTCAGGTTATAAGAGGGGTACTCCTGCTTTTTCTTTCTCAACAATGTGATACCAGAAACATCATTCTTTTTGGCACTTAGGTAAAGGAGAGGGTCCATGAAGCTCAAAATTATATGTAAGAGATTGTGCTCATCACATTACATGCATTTTTCTTTTCCTTCCTTCACGTTACATGCATTTTTCTTTTCCTTCCTTTCTTTTTCTTTCTCTCCCTCTTTCTTTCGGATGGAGTCTTGCTCTGTCCATAATCCTCAAAATTGTGTGTAAGATATTATGCCCATTATGTTATGTGTATTTCTCTCTCTCTCTCTCTCTCTCTCCCTCTTTCTTTCTGATGGAGTCTTGCTCTGTCCATAATCCTTCCCTCTCTCTCTTTCTTTCTTGATGGAGTCTCGCTCTGTCACCCAGGCTGGAGTGCAGTGGCACAGTCTCGGCTCACTTCAACCTCCGTCTCCCAGGTTCAAGCAATTCTATGCCTCAGCCTCCAGAGTAGCTGGGATTACAGGCACCTGCCACCACACCCAGCTAATTCTTGTGTGTGTGTGTGTGTGTGTATATATATATATATATATATATATTTTTTTTTTTTTTTTTTTTTTTTTTTTTTCAGTAGAGACGGGGTTTCACCATCTTGGCCAGGCTGGTCTCCTGACCTCGTGATCCACCCACCTCAGCCTCCCAAAGTGCTGGGATTATAGGTGTGAGCCACTGTGCCCGGCCTATGTACATTTTTCTAGAGTATCATCAAGCTATCAAAGTGCCTTTGAACCCTTAGTGGTTAAACCATTGCTCAATAAGTGAGGAAAATGTTTGAGATCCATTAACTGAGGTCCCAAGTACCTTTGCTTGTAGTAAAGCAGTAATAGAACTTCGGCTTATAGAATAAAACGGCAAACCCCCATTTCTTTTTTTTCTTTTTGAGATGGAGTTTTGCTGTTGTTACCCAGACTGGAGTGCAATGGCACGATCTCGGCTCACCGCAACCTCCGCCTTCTGGGTTCAAGCAATTCTCCTGCCTCAGCCTCTCTAGTTGCTGGGACCTCAGGCGCGCACCACCATGCCCAGCTAATTTTTGTATTTTTAGTAGAGACGGGGTTTCACCTCGTTGACCAGGATGGTCTTGATCTCTTGACCTCGTGATCCACCCACCTCGGCCTCCCAAACGGCTGGGATTATAGGCGTGAGCCACCGCACCCGGCAAGCAAACCCTCATTTCTTAGAATTGAGGAGAAATGCAGGGCTTTGCTGGTGCCTATAAACACCCACACTTGCAGTGTTCAGTCCTGCTCGCAGGTGATGTTTCTTTTTCACATAAATGTTGATGTCAGCATTTAAAGAAAAACTAGAAATTTAAGTTAAACCTCCGTCATTTCCATAAATTACCTGCATAAAGTGTTCCAAAGCACCCTGCTCAACGAGACCATTGAAGAGACTTTTCCTCCTGACACCAAGTACATGGTGTCTTCTCCACACCAGTGTTCCGCCAATAACCGCATATCCTACTATTCAGTTCAACTTGGACACCAGCTATCCAGAGTCAGCATCAGACCCCGTGGATTGTGGCCTCAGTATCACAAGACTGCCCTCACTTCAGAAGCCAGTAGCCAGTATCAGGTCTCCAGGTTACCCACATTTCTGTCTGACTTGGCTGGTACTAACTCAGGGGTTCCCATGATCCCACCCCTCCGACTTGATAATTTGCTAGAACAACTAATATAACTAAGGAAAATGCTATATTTACTATTACAGTTTATAATAAAGGGTACAAATGCACAGCCAAAAGAGGCTCCTCGAGTCCCAAGCACAGGAGACTCTGCCCCTGGGGAACTGGGGTGCATCATCCTCTTGACACTGGGATGTGTTCACCAACTTGGATGCTCCCCCATCATCTAGGGGTTTTTATGATGGCTTCATTACACAAGCATGATTGATTAAGTCATGGGTACTGTGACTGAACTCAATCTCCAGCCCCTCCCCTGAGGTGAAACCTCACTAGCACAAACTCAAGTAGAGTTGAAAGTGGCCAGTTATGAATAACCAAGGACATGCTCCTATCACTTGGGAAATTCCAAGGTTTTTAGGAGCTCTGTGCCAGGAACTGGAGACAAAGACCAAATATGTATCTTTTGAGACAAGGTCTTGCTGTGTCACCCAGGCTGGAGTGCAGTTTTGCAATCAAAGCTCACTGCAGGTCGTGTGTGGTGGCTCTCGTATGTAATCCCAGCACTTTGGGAGGGTAAGGCGGGAGGATCATTTGAGGTCAGGAGTTAAAGACCGGCCTGACCGACATAGTGAAACCATGTCTTTACTAAAAATAGCTAAAATTAGCCAGGCATGGTGGTGAATCCTGTAATCTCAGCTACTCAGGAGGCTAAGGCAGGAGAATTCCTTGAACCTGGGAGGCAGAGGTTGCAGTAAGCTGAGATTGTGCCACTGCACTCCAAACTGGGCGACAGAGCAAGACGTGATTTCAAACAAACAAACAAAAAGCTCACAGCAGCCTCAACCCCCTGGGCTCAAGCGATCCTCCTATCTCAGCCTCCCAGTAGCTGGGACTACAGGCATGTGCCACTACGCCCAGTTAATATTTTACTTTTTAGAGAGAACAGTGTCTTGCCATGTTGCCCAGGCTGGTCTCAAACTCCTAGGGTCAAGCAATCCTCCTGCCTTGGCCTCTCAAAGTTCTGGGATTATAGGAATGAGCCACCATGCCTGGCCATTCACTAGCTTTTCCAGGCTCCTTGATGGCAAGGCCTCGTCCATCTTATTCACTGTTTTCTCTCTAGCAACTAGTGAAGTGTTAGGTACTCAATAAATTTTTTTTTTTCATTTAGATAATTCAAACAGGGTCATAAGTAAAATTGAAAAAAGACCACTGTTTTACTAAGATAGATAGTATACTTCTCTTTTCAGTTCCAAGATTTAAATCCTAAAATAAAATATACAAAGGCCTGGTTCAAACCTATGGGTCTCAGTTTCCTCCTGTGTCATGAAAATGGGTCATTCTAGGCCAGGCACCATGGCTCATGCCTGTAATCCCAGCACTTTGGGAGGCCGAGGCAGGTGGATCACCTGAGGTCAGGAGTTCAAGACCAGCCTGGCCAACATGGTGAAACCCTGTCTCTCTACAAAAAAATTTATGAAAAAACAATAATAATAAAAAAGAAAATGGGTCAGTCTAAATGACTCCTTCTCCCATTAGACTTCTAGAAGCTGCAGTTACCTAATAGACAGTGGTTTTTTTGACTTATCCTATGCCACCAGCTCCAAGGAAGGAGAAGAAGTGGGGCTTTTATGCTTCCAACTTAAAGATCAAATGCTGATTTTCCCATGAGATAAGAATTTTATTTTTTTGTCTCAACTTCTTTTCTCTGTTGGCATTTTCTTTGTAGTATCACACCGTATTCCAAAACTCCGTGACGACAGCAGCTAAGCATTTCAATAGGATTTTTGTTTTCCATATTCTAGATACCAGTTGGGATATAACACCAATGATTCTCAACCTCTTCTTTACCCAGTCACCTGAGGGCTATAGACATATATTCAACAATGACTTTAACTCAGCTTAGGGGAGGGGAGGGCACACTTGCAGAAAATTCTCCAGTGATTATGTCATTTCCATTTATACCCTATCGAGAGTCAATGGTATAAGCAATTCAGCCACATCCCCCAGCTACTGAAGTCACAAAACACATGGAACAAAGGATTCAGGAAACTGCTATTTACCTGATATGTTTTCTGTTGAACAGCAAGAATGAATGCAGTCTTCTTGAGTTAAAGTATATATGGGCTCATTGCCTCTGATTCCCTTAGAAAGAGATGACTGGATGTCAATGACAGCATCTTCGAGACTCTTGTTGAGGCAATTCTGACCGGCAGACAGCCTTAGTGTCAGCAAACAAGTTATCACCAAAGTGGAAGTTAATCTCCCTTCCCCCCTGAAGAACATTTTAAATTTCAGTTTAGTTTTAGTCTTCAAAGATCAAGGATAATCCTCCCTCTGGTCCTAGTTTGCTTTAAGAACTTTGCACACGTGATGAAATTTCTCTCTAGAACAAAAACGGAAAATCATCCATGAGTTTTGTTCCTTTAACAAACAAGGCAAGAAACATTTCATTTCCTTAAAGTCAATGAAAAGGACCCACGTACAATTTAGAGAAGAAAACAAGTATTTTTTGTTTCACTTTTAGTAAATTTAAGACAACCTTTCATTAAACACTTGGCAAAGAACTGATAAGCATAAACAAACATACTACCTAACCAATGCTTAAAAGCGGACAATGCACATGAAAGAACAGGTATAAACAGTAGGCCTGCCTCAGCGTTCTACAATCCTTCCCTCTTCTACCTCAGAGCAGAAGATACAACTTTCTTTCTTTTTCTTTTTTTTTTGAGTCAGAGTCTCACTCTGTTGCCAGGCTGGAGCGCAGTGGCATGATCTCGGCTCACTGCAACCTCTGCCTCTCAGGTTCAAGCGATTCTCCCGCCTTAGCCTCCCGAGTAGTTGGGGCTACAGGAGCGTGCCACCACACCCAGTTAATTTTTCTATTTTTAGTAGAGACAGAGTTTCACCATGTTGCCCAGGATAGTCTCGATCTCTTGACCTCATGATCTGCCCACCTCGGCCTCCCAAAGTGCTGGGATTACAGGCATGAGCCACCGCGCCCATGGACACAATTTTCCAGCCTAGAGAACGCAAATTTCTAGTCATTGATGAAGCAGTAGTAATAGCTTTGAGCATATTTCTTTTCTCGGTAATAAGAATCGGTATTTAAAAATTATCTACTAGGGGCTAGGCATGGTAGCTCATGCCTGTAATCACAGCATTTTGGAAGGCGGAGGTGGATGGATTGCTTAAGCTCAGGTGTTTGAAACCAGCCTGGGCAACATGGTGAAACCTCATCTCTACTAAAAATACAAAAAATTAGCTGGGTGTAGTAGCGCACACCTGTGGTCCCAGCTACTTGGGAGGCTGAGCTGGGAGGATCGCTGGACACCAGGAAGTTGAGGCTACAGTGAGCCATGACTGCACCAACTGCACTCCAGCCTGGGTGACAGAGCAAGACCATGCTTCAAAAAAACACTTTAAAATGAAAAGCTGAGCTCAGGGGCTCACACCTAGAATCCTAGCACTTTGGGAGGCCAAGGTGGGCAGATCACAAGGTCAGGAGTTCGAGACCAGCCCCCCACCACGTGGTGAAACCCCGTCTCTACTAAAATACAAAAATTAGCCAGGCATGGTGATGTACCTGTTATCAATCCCAGCTGCTCGGGAGGCTGAGGCAGGAGAATCGCTTGAACCAGGGAGGTGGAGGTTGCAGTGAGCCTAGATCGCGCCACTGCACTCCAGCCTGGGTGACAGAGCGAGACTCCATCTCAAAAAAAAGAAATAAAATAAAAAATAAAAATAGATAACAATATGCTAGATGGTAGACATTGTGCTGAGCAATTTACTACTCTTTTTCTGATCTTTAATTAATTAAATGTAGTACCCTCTTTTATTTAAATTATTCTCTTTGATCCTTACACCAACTGTGATGGTTAATACTGAGTGTCAACTTGATTGGATTGAAGGATAGAAAGTATTGATCTCGGTGAGTCAGCGGGCTGGGAAAGGCAGCCCCACCCTTAATCTGGGTGGGTACAATCTAATCAGCTGCCAGTAGGGCTAGAATATAAGCAGGAGGGAAAATGTGAAAACAGAGAGTGGCTTAGCCTCTCATTCTGTTTTGTTTTTTTTCTGAGATGGGAGTCTTGCCCTGTCACCCAGGCTGGAGTGCAGTGGCGTGATCTTGGCTCACTGCAACCTCCACCTCCCAGGTTCAAGTGATTCTCCTGCCTCAGCCTCCTGAGTAGCTGGGACTACAGGCGTGTACCACCACACCTGGCTAATTTTTTGTATTTTTAGTAGAGATGGGGTATCACAGTGTTAGCTAGGATGGTCTCCAACTCCTAACCTAGTGATCCCCTGCCTCAGCCTCCCACACTGCTGGGATTAAAGGCATAAGCCACTGCGGTTGGCCCCAGACTATATCTTTCTCCAGAGCTGGATGCTTCCAACCCTCAAACATTAGACTTCAGGTTCTTCAGTTTTGGAACTCCTTGCTTGTCAGCCTACAGATAGCCTATTTGGGACCTTGTGATCATGTGAGTTAATACTTAATAAACTCCCCTTTATTTATGTATATACATATTCCATTAGTTCTGTCCCTCTAGAGGACCCTGACTAATAACAACAACCCTGCAAAAAAGCTATTATTGGCCGGGCACAGTGGCTCATGTCTGTAATCACAGCACTTTGGGAAGCTGAGGTGGGTGGATCACCTGAGGTCAGGAGTTTGAGACCAGCCTGGCCAACATGGCGAAACCCCGTCTCTATTAAAAATACAAAAATCAGCTGGGTGTGATGGTGGGCACCTGTAATCCCAGCTACTCAGGAGGCTGAGGCAGGAGAATCACTTGAACCCAGGAGGCAGAGGTTGCAGTGAGCCAAGATTGTGCCATTGCACTCCAGCCTGGATGACAGAGCAAGACTCCATCTCAGAAAAAAATAATACAAAAGTCACACTATGGATAATGCCAACTCTATTGAGATGCTGGTTCTTTTAGGAAAAATAAATGTTAAACTAGCAATACAAGAAATTATCGTCGCTCATCTACCTCCACATTCCTAGAATGCAAATTGTTCACTGAATGATAGCTTAGACCAGAATTGCCACTTCCTTAACCTTTCTTTGGTCATTAACCCTTTGATAGTCTGAGGAAGCTCAGGATCTCTTCTGAGAGACATATTTAAAAACGCATAAAATGAAATATGTCAGATTCCAAAGAAGCCAGTTATATTGAAATATAATTGACTGGGCTCAGTGGCTCATGCCTATAATCCCAGCACTTTGGGAGGCCAAGCTGGGTGGATCATGAGGTTAAGAGATTGAGCCCAACCTGGGTAACATGGTGAAACCCTCTCTCTACTAAAAATACAAAAATCAGCTGGGCATGGTGGCAGGTGCCCGTAGTCCCAGCTACTCAGGAGACTGAGGCAGGAGAATTGCTCGGGAGGCAGAGGTTACAGTGAGCCAAGATCGTGCCACTGCACTCTAGCCTGGCAACAGAGTGAGACTCCGTCTCAAAAAAGAAAGAAAGAAAGAAATATAATTATATTAAAATGTAATTATCACAATAGTTTTTAAAATGTCCCTACAAAATTCTGGTGAAAGAAATCAAATAGAGAGATATTACATGTTCATGGATAGGAAGACTCTATCTTGTTAAGATATCAGTACTTCCCAACTTGAGCTACAGATTAAATACAGTCCCAATCAAAAGCCTGAAGTTATTTTTTGGATATCAACCGATTTTAAAACTTACATGGAAATGCAGACAAGACCTAGAATAGTCCAGAACACTAACGAACAAAGTTGGAAGACTGATACCGACTTCATCATTTACTGTAAAGCTACAGTAATTTAAAAAGTATGGTATTAGAAAGAGAGTCAACTGATCTTTGACAAAGGAGCAAAAGAAATTCAATGGAGAAAGAATATTTTTTCCTTTTCTTTTACAAGACAGAGTTTCGCTCTTGTTACCCAGGCTGGAGTGCAATGGCGCGATCTCGGCTCACCACAACCTCTGCCTTCTGGGTTCAAGTGATTCCCCTGCCTCAGCCTCCTGAGTAGCTGGGATTACAGGCATATGCCACCATGCCCGGCTAATTTTGTATTTTTAGTAGAGATGAGGTTTCTACATGTTGGTCAGGCTGGTCTTGAACTCCCGACCTCAGGTGATCCACCTGTGTTGGCCTCCCAAAGTGCTGGGATTGCAGGTGTGAGCCACCACACCCAATGAGAATAGTCTTTTCAAAAAATGGTAATGGAACAACTGGATATCCACTTGTAAAAATGAATAAATAAATAAATCTAGCCACATACTTTATACCGTTTGGAAAAATTAGCTCTAAATGGATCACCAATCTAAATATAAAATGTAAAACTATAAAATTTCTAGAAAATAACAGAAGAAAATCCTTGTGACCTTAGATTAGGTGATGAGTTTTTAAATATAATAGCAAAAGCACACTCCATGAAAGAAAAAATCGATGTTGGACTTCATTAAAATTAAAAACTTCTGCTCTGCAAAAGATACTGTTAAGAGAACAAAAAGACAAGCCACGGACTTGGAAGAAATATTTGTGAAACAAAAGCAGTTTTTTGGAGGAAATATTTGTGAAACAAAAGCAGTAGTCCCCAACCTTTCTGGTACCAGGGACCAGTTTCACGGAAGACAATTTTTCCGTGGGTGGAGTTGTGTGGGGTATGGTTCAGGATGATTCAAGTTCATTGTACTTATTGTGTACTTTATTTCTCTTATTACGTTACAATATATAACAAAATAATTATACAACTTACCATAATGTAGAATCAGTGGGAGCCCTGAGCTTGTTTTCCTGAAACTAGACAGTCCCACATGGGGGTGATGGGAGACAGTAACAGATCATCGGGCATTAGATTCTCATAAGCAGTATGCAACCTAGATCCCTCACACGCACAATTCACAATAGGGTTCATGCTCCTATGAGAATCTGATTCCACCACTCATCTGACAGGAGGTGAAGCTCAGGTGACAATGCAAGCAATGGGGAGTGGCCGTAAATGCAGATAAAGCTTTGCTCACTGCCCCACTGCTCAGCTCCTGCTGTGTGGCCCATCTCCTGATAGGTAGTGGTCCTGGCCCAGAGGTTGGGGACCCACGTGATAAACGACTAGTATCCAAAATATACCAAGAACTCTTAAAAGTCAGCAATAAGAAAACGAACTCAGTGGACAAAAGATCTCAACAGACACCTTACCATAGAAAATAAACAGATGATAAATAAGCATATGAAAAGGTATCTAACATCATATGTCATTAGGGGGTTGCAAATTCAAACAAGATACCACTACCCACCTAAGAGAATGGCTAAAATCCAAAAAATGAACAATACCAAATACAAAGACACGGAGCAACAGAACTTCTTTGCTGGGTGCAGTGGCTCACACCTGTAATCCCAGCACTTTGGGAAGCTAAGGTGGGTGGTTCACTTGAGGTCAGGGGTTTGAGACCAGCCTGGCCAACATGGTGAAACCCAGTCTCTCAAAAAAAAAAAAAAAAAAAATACAAAAATCAGCCAGGCATGGTGGTGGGCGCCTGTAATCCCAGCTACTTGGGAAGCTAAGGCAGGAGAATCGCTTGCTGGTGGGGAATGCAAAATGCCACAGCCACTTTGGGAGAAGTCTGGCAGTCTCTTACCAAGCTAAATGCAGTCCTAACATACAATTCAGCAATTGTTCTCCTATGTATTCATTCAAATGAACTGAAAACTTATGTCCACACAAAAATCTGCACAAGAATATTTATAGCAGCTTTATTCATAATTACCAAAAACTAAAAGCAACCAAGATGCCCTCAATGAATAAACAAAATGAGATACATCCATACATTGGAATATTATTCAGTAATAGAAATAAAGGAACTACAAAGCCACAAAAAGACATGGAGGAATCTTTTTTTTTTGAGACGGAGTTTCGCTCTCGTTACCCAGGCTGGAGTGCAATGGCGTGATCTCGGCTCACCGCAACCTCCGCCTCCCGGGTTCAGGCAATTCTCCTGCCTCAGCCTCCTGAGTAGCTGGGATTACAGGCACGCGCCACCGTGCCCAGCTAATTTTTTGTATTTTTTAGTAGAGACGGGGTTTCACCATGTTGACCAGGATGGTCTCGATCTCTTCACCTCGTGATCCACCTGCCTCGGCCTCCCAAAGTGCTGGGATTACAGGCTTGAGCCACCACGCCCGGCTGGAGGAATCTTAACTGCATATTACTAAGTGAAAGAAGCCAGTCTGAACAGATAAGACTCCAAGTATATGACATTCTAAAGAAAGCAAACTACAATGGCAGTAAAAAGGTCAGTGGTTACCGGGAGAGTAAGAGTGGGAGGATGAATCGGTGGAGTACAAGAAATATTTAGGGCAGTGAAACTATTCTGTATACTACGGTAATGGAGGATACATGTTATTGGACATCTGTCAAAACCCATAGAAATGTGAAACACGGCCGGGCGCGGTGGCTCAAGCCTGTAATCCCAGCACTTTGGGAGGCCGAGGCGGGTGGATCATGAGGTCAAGAAATCGAGACCATCTTGATCAACATGTTGAGACCCCGTCTCTACTAAAAATACAAAAAATTAGCTGGGCACGGTGGTGCGTGCCTGTAATCCCAGCTACTCGGGAGGCTGAGGCAGGAGAATTGCCTGAACCCAGGAGGCAGAGGTTGCGGTGAGCCGAGATCGCGCCATTGCACTCCAGCCTGGGTCACAAGAGCGAAACTCCGTCTCAAAAAAAAAAAAAAAGAAAGAAAGAAATGTGAAACACACAGAGTGAACATTATGTGAACTGTCGACTTTTAGTTCAAAAACAAGGTAAAAGAAAACACAAAAACAAAAACCAGTATATGGGAATAAAACACAAGTCTAACTGTCTGTCAAAATTCTGGATACAGTAAAATAGTAACATTTATTGCTTCTAACATGCTATTTCTATGCTAAGCACTTATTTTTTTCAGCACTTTCCCAAGCATAAGCGCCTTATATATATCATGTCATTTAGTCCTCACAGATCACACTATTACCCTCATTTTCAGTTAAAACTTATAAAAAGTGGTGGGACAGAGTATGTGCTTCTTTATTAACCTATTAAGTAACAAGTGTTCATCTAATAACTTCCATAATTTTGACATGGTATTGAGTAAAGACAACATTTTGAAACGTGCAACGTCATGTGACATAAAAGTATCAGCAATATCTACTGGGGGCAAATCATAGCTACTGCTTATACCACTGTGGCTCTTGCCCACATTCCATTTCAAAAGTCGGTGAAATAATAAATGTTTCCACCCAAGTTCACAGACATCCTGAATTCTATCCATGGAAACCTTATCATGGACTCCCCAGGTTAAGAATTCCGGCCAAGGTACTTAATATGCTGCCACATATTGCAAGCCTCTAGGGAATCAAGAGAAAACCAGGTCAATACCTTATTTTGAATGGATTCTAATGTAGCCTCTTTTCAAGCTTTTGCGAAGAAACCTGAAGTATGCAAGGAGGTGGGGCACGAGCTGATTTAGGTAAGCAGCATCGCCAGAAGTGCTGAAGAGTTTTATATCATTAAAGAGACTCTGAAATACTAGGTTAGTGACGCTTTCTAATCCATTACTATTTAGGCCTTAAGGGCCTGACGTCGAGTTGAATCTTGTTGAAAGACGGGCGGGGGGAAAGGATACAGGCGGTGAGAGAGGATGCCCGAGTTTTAACGCCTGCATACAAGGGTCGCTAAAACTTACTCACACATAACTAGTTCAAATATTGGAAATCATCTCACAGCACACTGTAATTTGCCAAGATGCTTATAACTGTACACACACACTCTCTACAGAGCATTAGACAATTAGCAGGTTCAGTAATGAATACAGAGACGACTCCTACAAGAAAACAGGGAACATTTTCCCTCCCTTTGAGGAAATGCATGTTGCCTACCGAGCTGATCTGCCTCTCCTCCTGATGTCAACGCAGAGCGAGAGCCAATTATGGCAGGTGCCTTGAGCCTGCCTGGAGGTCCCCTTCGGAATAATGCAGAGACTCAAGGATCCTGGTCAGCCCTTATTGGCCCCAGCTGGTCCCTCGGATGCTCCGGTGTGGGTGGAGGAGCCTCGGCCCCTGGAAAGGAGGGGACCTACTCTCTCCGCAGGAGGCGACGTTGCCTGCAGTCCGTCAGGGGTGGGTGGTGGGGAGACCCGTTTACCTGGCGGCGAGAAGACCCCGGGGCCCCTGCTGCCCTCCGGGTGCGAGGACAGCTCTGTGGCGCCCGCGGGAAGGACCGGCGAATCCGCGCGACTGTCTCGGCGAGGACGGCAGGGGACGCTCCGCAGCTCCCGCACCGGCCCGGCGGGTTTTGTGGTTAGCAAGTTCCTGCTTCCGTCGCCGCGACGGAAAGTTTACCGCGGGGGAAGGGCACGTTCCTGCCCTGCAACCCGGAGCTGCTTCCCGGCAACGTTAGCGCGCGCTCCCCGCGGAGGCTCCGGGCTCCTGGCCTCTGGCCCCAGCGCTGAGCCCTGCAGGGAGCGGGCGCCCCCACCCCGCTTAGCCGCACGGCGGACCCCGGGCTGAGCGCGCTGCGAGAGGCACTGAGCGGCTCCCTGCTGGTGGCACGAGGGTCTGCAGCTGAGCCTTGCCTCGCGGAGGCCGGAGCCCGCAGCCCGCGCACAGAAAAATAAACATGGGGAATACGTCAAACAGTCCAAAAATATGCAGTGACAAGTCTACCCCTTACCCCGCCGTGCCCCAGTCTCCTAGTCTTCCTCCGCGGAGGCTGAGAGCAGTTTTTTGATGTTCAAGAGCTTATAGTGCATCCTATTAGGGGCATCGTTCTGAGAATGCTCTTTCCATACCTGGAGGATGGAGTCCTCAATTAAGATGGCAATTCTTGGGTTAAACATTATGTGCAAGACAAACCTAAAGGAAGGTATTTGGCTTTCTGCAGGATTTACTGCTTGTAGGTAGGATAATAATGGTGAAAATGCTGGTGTCTGTAACACATATTAAAATTGTATCCCTAACACTTAGCATAGTGCCGGGTACACAACAGGCGCTCAGTAGATATTTAACTAAAAGGTTTTTGTTGACTGAATGACTGGAAAAGAACTGCATAGGGAATAGGTTGTGGAAGTTTCTAAATCGCTGCTGGCCCCATCCCCACCTCCACAAACACACACACAAATGCAACATTACTAAACGACCGACACGTAATTTGTCATGTGTTCTAACCTTTGACAGTCTCTTCACCTCTGTGTTGAAAGAGCTTGGAGACCTGAAGCACTATGCAATTACAAGTAAGTCTAGGCCTGTAAGCCAACAGCTATAGCCTATCTTAACCAGTACCTTCAGGAGGATTCGGTTGACTGAGAATGCTTGTGAACAATGGTCCCTTGTGTGAAACTAACTCTGCTTGTAACCAAAGGATGACTCTTGAATTGCAATGTTGCTAACACTTGGTTTGAAAGAGTCACCAAAGAAAAGTAAACTCCAGAGTCATTTCCCATTGCAGTGATCTTCCTGATGCAACAAGGGAATGATCTGCACGTGTGTTTTATCTCTGCAGATGATACACTGCACGGTTCAGAGTGTAGAGCTATCACATTTTTAAAATCTGTCTACATGGGGTAATCCATGCTAGTTACTAAGTAGACCTTTCCAACATTAGAAACTTCATATTCAGTGCTTTCATACAATGAACCTCTTTTCTTTTTCTTTTTTTTAGAGACGGAGTCTCACTCTGTTGCCCAGGCTGGAGTGCAGTGGCGCGATCTCGGCTCACTGCAACCTCCGCCTCTCGAGTTCTAGCAATTCTCTCAGCCTCCTGAGTAGCTGGGACTAAAGGTGCACACTGCCACACCCAGCTAATTTTTTGAATTTTAGTAGAGACAGGGTTTCATCATGTTGCCCAGGCTGGTCTCAAACTCCTGAGCTCAGGTGATCCACCCGCCTCGGCCTCCCAAACCGCTAGAAGTAAAGGCATGACCCTCCGCACCCAGCCTGAACCTGTTTTCATTGAAATGATGTTATTTTTTCAGTCATGACAGTGAACAAAGGACAGCGATTAAAATAATGATTAAAGAAATATTTTCTATTGATATGTGTTTAATTTATAATTTTTATTTATTTATTTATGTATTTTTTTTTTTTGAGACAGAGTCTCTCTCTGTTGCCCAGATGGGAGAGCAGTGACATGATCATGGCTCACTGCAACCTCTGCCTCCTGGGTTCAAGGGTTTCTCCTGACTCAGCCTCTCGAGTAGTTGGGACTACTGGTGTGTGCCACCACGCCTGCTAATTTTTTGCATTTTTAGCGGAGACGGGGTTTCACCATGTTACAGGATGGTTTTGATCTCCTGACCTCATGAGCCACCCACCTCAGCCTCCCAAAGTTTTGGGATTACAGGTGTGAGCCACCATGCCTGGCCCATTCATTCGTTTTTTCAGACAGGGTCTTGCTCTGTTGCCCATACTGGAGTGCAATGGCACAATCACAGCTCACTGCAGCTTTGATCACCTGGGCTAAAAATGATTCTCTTGCCTCAGCCTCTCGAGTAGCCGAGACCACAGGCACACACCACCACACCCAGCCAATGTTCTTACTTTTTAAAAAAAATGTTAACATTCAGTCTCGCTCTATCACCCAGGTGGAGTGCAGTGCTGCGATCTCAGCTCACTGTAACGTCCGCCTCCCAGATTCAAGAAATTCTCCTGCTTCAGTCTCCTGAGTAGCTAAGATTACAGGCTCATGACACCATGCCCAGCTAATTTTCATATTTTTAGTAGAGTCAGGGTTTCACCATGGTGGTCAGGTTGGTCTTAAACTCCTGACATCAAGTGATCTGCCCACCTCGGCCTCCCACAGTGCTGGGATTATAAGCGTGAGCCACCACACCCAGCGTTTTAAATTATTTGTATAGATGAGGTCTTGTTACATTGGCCAGGCTGGTCTCAAACTCCTGGGCTCAAATGATCCTCCTGCCTCGGCCTCTCAAAGTTCTGGGATTACAGGCATGAACCACTACACCTGGCTTACTTAAAAAAAATTAATGAAAAAAACCTTTAATTTCTGGCCTTACTGAGTCATAACTCAGAAATTATATCCATTGTCATTTCTTTTTTCTTTTTGAGACGGAGTTTCGCTCTTGTTACCCAGGCTGGAGTGCAATGGGCGATCTCGGCTCACCGCAACCTCTGCCTCCTGGGTTCAGGCAATTCTCCTGCCTCAGCCTCCTGAGTAGCTGGGATTACAGGCACGCGCCACCGTGCCCAGCTAATTTTTTGTATTTTTAGTAGAGACGGGGTTTCACCATGTTGACCAGGATGGTCTCGATCTCTTGACCTCGTGATCCACCCGCCTCGGCTTCCCAAAGTCCTGGATTACAGGCTTGAGCCACCACACCCGACCTATTGTCATTTCATTTCCTGAAGAGATTCTTGATTCTCTTCTCTGAGGGCTAGAAGTCCCATCTATGTGGAGTTAGATTTTTTTAAAAAGTAATTGAAAACACGTGTTAAGCACCTGCAGGGGAAATTAAAGACCAATAATGCCAATGAGATCTACCTTCAAGATGTTCATAGTTCAGAAGGAGAGTCAAGTGAATCAATGGCCGTATAAACAATAAGTGTAATGAAGGCCAGGTGTAATGAAGGCCAGGCTCACACCTGTAATCTCAGCACTTTGGGAGGCCAAGGCAGGAGGATCACATGAGCCCAGGAGTTTGAGGCCAGTCTGGGCAACATAACAAGACTCCATCTCTACAAAAAATAAAAATTAGCCTGGTGTGGTGGTACACCCCAGGTAGAGGCTGTAGTGAGCCACGATAGCACCACCGCACTCCAGCCTGAGCAACGGAGTGAGCACTTGTCCCTGCCCTCCCCAAGAAAAGAATAAATGTCATTCCTTCCAGTGAAGGAAGGAATCTAATAGTAGATGGCAACTAAAAAGGCTCAGAGAAGGGACATCTGATCACAGTTTCTGGGAGGAGGTGTTTAATTATTGAAGAAAGAAGTTATTAGCTAGATGAGGAAGAAAAGGCTGAATATTTCAAGAATAGGAAACTGCATGGCCCCCGGGAAATTTAGTCTGTTAGAAGGGTTACCAGTGTACACAGAAGAATAGAGAGAGAGGCTGGGGTCAGGGCAGGAAGGTTTTCATATGTTAAATCTTAAACTTTATCCTAAAGGCATGGGGAGTTCCTGAAGGTTTTTTGTAGGGCAGCGACAGGTCCAGAGACCTAATTAATATCCTAGAAAATTTTCTCTACCTGCCACAGGAGGGACGGATTGAAGGATGTGAGCCCAAGGCCTCTCTTCCAAGAAAGGGAAGTGATAAGGCCCTGAAATGGGCATGGAGATAGAAGAGGAATTAAGAGGAGAGTCTCTTCAGGATGCAATGATTGGTTGGATGTGGTGCTGAGAGTAAGCAGGCTTCTGGCTTGGGAGCCTGGTTGGATGGGAGTACCAGGTCATAAAAAGACACGGGAAGAGGAGCCAATCTGGAATGGACAGAGGCATGATGAGTTTTGAAAACAAGTCCTGGTTTTATCACTTACTAGTTGTGTGACCAAGAATAAATCACTTAACTTTTCTGTGACATTAGGAAATGCAAGTCATATAAAGTAACGTAAAGTAGATACCACTTTTTTTTAATGCAGGTCTAACATATAGACCTGTAGATTTTTTATACAGGTCTAACATATAGATCTGTAGGCTTATAAACTCGTAAAGGCTGTTCAATTCCTAGTTATTACATATTCAATAATACAATTTTGCTGCTTATGTAGAAGGGATTTTAAAGGAGCTAAAAGACATCAATCTCAAATGTTTCCTGGCTTTAAAGCTCCTCCAGCACACTCCTTATGTTATATAAATGCTCATTTAATTTTCTTGCCACGAGACTGTAAGCTTCCTAAGTACAGGGACTGGGTCTTGTTGAATTTTTTATTCTTAGTCTGCATCAAGTGCCTTGTACATTACAGGTTCTCAAGAAACGTTGAGCCAGTGAAGGAAGGAATTTTATCTTCATATATTCTTTTTCTAAATATAGCTTTATGGATATAGAATTTGTATACCATACAATTTAACCTCATAAAGTGTACTCTTCAGTGGTTTTTAATATATTCAGAGTTGTGCATGCATCGCTACAATTTTAGAACATTTTCTTCAACCCCAGAAAGAAACCTCATAACCAATAATAGTCTACTTTTCCCTTCCACCCACCCCTCCTCGTCCTTAGGCAACACTAATGTGTTTCTCTCTCTGTCGCGCCTCTCCTGGACATTTCATATAAATGGAATCTACAATATGTGGTCTTTTATGACAGGCCTTTTTCATATTGAATAATGTTGTCAAGATTAATCTATGTTGTAGCATGTATCAGTATCATATCTTTCCCTTATTTTGGTGGAATAAATATTCCATTATATGGATATAGTACACTTCATCCATTCATCAGTTGATGGGATAGAATATCCTTTTAAGAATGAAATGTTTATCCAAAGGGAAGCATAAAAAACATCATCACATCAGTATGGACTAGTGTATGGAACACAAGGCAAATATACTTTCATGTGGAAAAGAGGCAACAAGAGCCGGAATGAGTGATTCTCCATCCCTCACCCCTTTAACCTCCTCTCTCACCTACCCCTCAAAGAGGGGAATCTGGGAGAGGAAGCAAGGACTCTCCAGAAGGGAATGGTCTCACTGCTTAGTGGGACCTTCCCAGTCCCATCGGCCTGGTGTGGTTATGTAAACCTCAAGACTAGTCAGACACAACCTTCTAAAAGCCTACCCTGATCTCTCAGGCAGTTTTTAAGATTTATCTTTATATTCCCAGAGAACACTGTACTTAGATTCACTTGCATATTTCTCATTGTATTGCGATGGTGAGTAGAGGAAAGAGCATCACACAGTCCTAAATAGTTCCACCACTTGCCACCTGCTGACCATGGAGGAGTCACCCATCTACAGGCCTCAGGGTTGTTGTGAAAACTAAATAAGGTAAAACAGGGGAAATGTTTGTGATATAGTAGAGTGGAAGGGACTTAAAAAATCATTTTTATTAACTTGACACTCCTAATATGTTTTATGCATATAAAATCTCAAGGGATTTGCTTGTAATTTCTTGATGCAAACAACATAAATATAAAATGAGTAGCAAAGTTCGGAGAATTCCACAGCCAGCTAACTCGTTGATGGCACTGCATTGCTAGGTTACTGCCTTGCCCTGGCAAAAGTGGCCCCTTACTTTTTGGATTACTTGTACTCCCACTTCGCCTTTTGTTAGTTTCAGGGTGACTTGTTGATAACTGTCAAGGTCCCCAAAAAGCGCCTAGCCAAAAAAGGTCCTTCACTTCTCTTTAAAGATGCGCACTTCCTAATACATGAATCAGCAACCTCCATTTTTAAATTTTTCTCTCATTTCCAGCTGCTCTTTCCCCGTCTTCTGCTATTTTTTTTGTTTGTCTATTTGATCGTCCACTGCTAAACTCCTAGCTCTTCAGAATTAAAAATGAGCTTTGCATCCAGGCTGTCGTGGGTTCAAATCCTGAGTCTACCTAGGATTTCTTTCTCCATCTGTAAAACAGAGTTAAAAATACCTAATTTGTAAAGTTGTTTTCACATGTGGGTGTTGAAGAACTTAATAGTGTGGGTGGTGGTTTAAAGGTGTTTCCATGATTACAACAGGAAAGGGCTTAACCTTTTCGGCAGTTACGGCTACGAGGAGGTCAGGCCCTTTAAGACGGGGTTGCACCTAAGCAGGAGCGGTTCTCTCCACCTCTCCCTCGGGTCGGGGGCGGGGCCTCCTAACCCGGAACTGACGGTTGGGCGTAGCCGGCACCGCCCATCCGCGTCCCGGAAGGAGCGAGCTTTGGGCGCCTGAACCAGTGAGTGAAAGCGGCGCCGCCCGCCGGCCGCAGGTGCGGCAAAGCAAGTGTTGTCTGCTTCTTCTCTTAGGGCTCCCCGAAAGAAGGAGGGCGAGCCGCGTGCATTCGCGCCGCGCCTGCTTGCGTTTCTGTTCCCCAAATAGGGCCTCTCCTTCTCCCGTCACCCAGGCCCCAGCGTGGACTGGTCGCGTCAGCCCCACAGATTAGTTTCGCCGCGGCGCGCAGACTCTGCCTTGCCTTCCCGTCCCGGTCCCTGGCCCCTGCCCTGTCGCCCGCCGCCGGAGCGGTGACCGCCCGGCCCGCCGTTCTTCTGCTGCCACCGCTGCCGGCACCATGGGCAGTGAGCAGAGCTCCGAGGCCGAGAGCCGACCCAACGATCTGAACTCCTCAGGTCGGTGTCCTAATCTCCCACCCTCCTCCAGCCCGCCCTGTCCGCTTGCAGAGCGCGGGCTGCCTCCCAGCCTAGTGGGGTCTGGGACGGCGGACGGGAACGCACAGAAAGCCCTCATACCATGCTACTAGGGGGGAAAAAAAAGTCACCATCTGTCCTGGCCTCGATTCCCCTGATGGAAGTGCCTGTGACTGCAAGCTAAGTCAGCGTGGGCGCCGGTGCCCATTATTTATTTTCAAAACAGCCGTTTCTCCCAGCTACAGCCTACTGTTTAAAAGACGACCTAATTAATTTTTGGCTCTAGAGCTCATGGCTGATGTAGTGAGATTTGGCTCACACAGTGGATGGATTATAGGACCTGTAAGAACAGGCAGTTTCTTAAAAACGGGTTTTAGAGGTTATTTTTCTGAAGGGGTATGTGATAGGTATCCACTCGCTTCGAACCCTTGAGTGCAAAGGTCTCCAGAAACAGACTTTTCTTCTCAGAAGGTGTCTTGGTCCCTTTTCTGATATTGTAGAGGTTGGCCAGACAGGCTCTGGTGTTTTCCATTGTTGTCCCCTGTCCATGATTTTTAGATTCCTCTAAGCGTCTGAGACAAGAATGGGAGGATTATTGTGTTTGCAGTATAGTGAGTGTTCAGTAAATAAAACAGCTGATGTTTAATTGAGGACCATTTGCTCCTTTTTTATTGTTACCCACACACCCAGCTGGCAGTGCCTTGGATAAGCTCCGGGGTTGCTAATGCAAATTGGTTAAATCCGGGGCCTAAAGAGTCTCCGATTTTAGAAGTTCTCTATTCTCGATAGGTTCTGTAATTCAGAAATAGGCAAGCTGGTAGATCTCAGGGTGTTTCACACTGAAGCGTGACCTTCAAGACTAATTCAGACCTACATTCTGGGGGCTGGATTGGGGCAGCTTTGAAGGGTGAGCAGCATCTGCTAGCTTTGCTACGTTTTTCTATTTCCTTGGAAGGCCCAGAGTATCATATCTGTTACAACAAATATAATAATTATGAACTCTTTCATTTTTGCCTCTGTGGCAGGATAGAAACATATTTTGGGGGGAAAAGGCGTGGCATCTTTTTAATATGTTTGCTCGCCCATGAACCAACAGCATTCACTCATTTCTGATGTTAGAATTTGCCTCTTCCTCTGTGCCAGGTACTTTACATGCATTTACATGTAATTTTTGCAGTAATCCCATTTTACAGATGAGGTAGTAGAGGCTGGTAAGAATGTTTTGAAGTCCCGTTTTCTCTGGCATCTGGGGAAGGAGGAATCACAATTTGTAGCAGGAAAAATTTCTGGCATGGCTTTTGTAAAATGTTAGGTGAATTACCAAAAGTGGATAAGAAACATTTCTTGAAAAGCAGCAGAGATTTTTCTAAAAGAGTGAATGCTAAGTCTCAGGAGATGAGCTTCCAGGAGGCAAAGCAGTTCTATGGCATCCCTGGATTAACTTTTGAGATGTGACTATAATGAGCCTGAGAATATCACCTTCTAGAGCATAAAACACTTTAAAGATTCATTCTAGGCCGGGCGCGGTGGCTCACGCCTGTAATCCCAGCACTTTGGGAGGCCGAGGCGGGTGGATCACAAGGTCAAGAGATCGAGACCATCCTGGTCAACATGGTGAAACCCCGTCTCTACTAAAAATACAAAAAATTAGCTGGGCATGGTGGCGCGTGCCTCTAGTCCCCGCTACTCAGGAGACTGAGGCAGGAGAATTGCCTGAACCCAGAAGGCGGAGGTTGCGGTGAGCCGAGATCGCGCCATTGCACTCCAGCCTGGGTAACAAGAGCGAAACTCCGTTTCAAAAAAAAAAAAAAAAGATTCGTTCTTGCCTCAGTCTGGAAGATATTTGGGAGAGGGGATGATTTTTGATCTAGGTACTTCTTTATGATTTGAATCACTTCCCTCCAAATAGATTACATTCTCCCAAGGTAACTGAATTGATCTCCCTCTTTGTCCGTCCTCCAAATGTCTGATTTTTGCCTCAGCCTAGAATGGACTTACTGGCTATTTTTGCCCTTCTTGGACAACTATTACAATTTTAAGAGTGAGGGGCTGTAGTCCTAGCTACTCAGGAGGCCAGGTAGGAGGATTGCTGGAGCCCAGGATTTTAAATCCAGCCTGGGCAATGTAGTGAGACCATGACTTTTTTTTTTTTTGAGACACAGTCTCACTGTCATCTATCCTGGAGTGTTAGTGGCATGATCCTGGCTCACTGCAACCTCTGACTCCTGGGTTCAAGCAATTCTCATGCATCAGCCTCTGGAGTAGCTGGGATTACAGGTGCCTGCCACCATGCCTGGCTAATTTTTGTATTTTTAGTAGAGATGGAGTTTCACCATTACTCAAGTGATCTGCCCACCTCAGCCTCCTGAAGTGCTGGGATTACAGGTGTGAGCCACCGTGCCCAACCACCTTGACTCAAAAAAAAAACAAGAGTGAGGAGGCTGAAGCCTCAGGAATAGGCCCATCATTTGGGGGTTGAGACAGGGTTTTCCCTGGACATACTAAACATAGCTGGCCTGATGTGGTAGGGTACATAGACAGCTTTGCAACGACAGTGTCGCAGAGATGTGTACCAATAACCTACAGACCTCTAATTCCTTTCCTAACTGCTTCTAGCACTGCTGACCTTGGGGAAGTCACAGTCAAATCATGTACCCTATATTTCTCATTTTAGAAATAGGGATATATATATCAAGATAGCAGGAGAATTAAAGGAGAAAGTAAAAACAATCTGCTTATACTTTTGTGAGCTGAAGATGAAAGAAGTTCATCCATATTATATAATCCTGTAATGGGCTGGGTGCAGTGGCTCATGCCTGTAATCCCAGCATTTGGGGAGGCTGAGGCAGGTGGATCATAAGGTCAGGAGTTCGAACCAGCCTGGCCAATATGGTAAAACCCCAGCTCTACTAAAAATACAAAAATTAGCCGGAGGTGGTGGTGCACACCTCTAGTCCCAGCTACTCTGGAGGCTGAGGGAGGAGAATTACTTGAACCCAGGAGGCAAAAGGTTGCAGTGAACCAAGATTGTATCACTGTACTCCACCGTCGGTGACAGAGCAAGACTGCCTCAAAATAAAATGAAATCCTGTAATGTCTGGAGTTTGTTGTTGTTTTGTTTTTTGAGACTCTTCCTCCCTTAACCATGCAGTGGCATGATCATGGCTCATGCAGCCTTGACCTCCTAGGCTCTAGTGATCCTCCCATCCCAGCTTCCCAAGTAGCTGGGACTACAGCCTGCAGCACCACACCTGGCTAATTAAAAGAATTTTTTTTGTAGAGACAGAGTCTCATTATGTTGCCCAGGTTGATCTCGAACTCCTGGACTCCAGTAATCCTCTCACCTCAGTCTCTCAAAGTCCTGAGATTGTAGGCATGAGCCACCACACCCAGCCTGTGTTGTGTTTTTTTGTTTTGTTTTTTTGAGACAGAGTGTCACTCTGTCACCCAGGCTTGAGTGCAATGGCACCATCTCAGCTCACTACAACCTCTTTCCTCTCAGGCTCAAGTGACTCTCCTGCCTCAGCTTCTTGAGTAACTGGGATTACGGGCATGTGCCACCACGCCTGGCTAATTTTTGTCTTTTTAGTAGAGGCAGAGTTTCACCATGTTGGCCAGGCTGGTCTCGAACTCCTTACCTCGGGTGATCTGCCCTCCCCGGCCTTCCACTGGGATTATAGGCAGGAGCCACTGTGCCTGGCTCCAGCCAGAGGTTTTAAAAAATACTATAGAAAATAGTTTCTATAATTTATTCCCTGGCACCCCAACCCCCACTGCAAAATAGCTACATTGAATAAAATTATTTTTTTTTAATCACTACACCAGGAACTGCTTTGGTGAGGCAGAGGTACCTAATACGCATTTCCTAAACAGTGTAACTTTGTTTTCAGTGGCTCCTTCACCTGCCAAGCATAGAGCCAAGATGGATGATATTGTGGTTGTAGCTCAGGGCTCCCAGGCCTCACGGAATGTCAGCAACGATCCCGACGTCATCAAGTTGCAAGAGATTCCAACCTTCCAGCCCCTTTTGAAAGGTAAAGGATTGTGTTCTGTTTTATCTGAGCTTGCTGGAGAGGCTTGTGTAGCCCTACTGCTTCCTTCCTACTTATCCATGCTCCTTGCTCTCTCATCTCCTTTAGGTCTTTGCTTAAAATGGCATCTTCTCAGGGAAGCCTTTCTTGATTTCCCTAATTAAAATTGCAGCCCCTATCCCTACCTGTTTTCCTCTATAGCACTTAATTACCATTGACCTACTGCAGATTTGTTTACCGTCTGTATTTCTCTGTTAGAATGTGAGCTCCATGCTGGCTGGTATTTTCTCTTTTGCTCAATGTTGAATTCCTAGCACTTGATAGAACCTGGTATAAGATAGGGACTAAGTAAGTGAATGAAGGAGGTTGGAAATGGCCCTTCCCTGTTATATTCCCATGAAAAGATTTTCATTCTTATTCGTGATCTGAACAGTGGGTGGACTAGTTCAGATCGGTAGAGAAAATCTCCATCACTACTGATACACTTGTGATTAATCCTGGCGGCTTTTTTTTTTTTTTTGAGATGGAGTTTCACTCTTGTTACCCAGGCTGGATGCAATGGTGTGATCTCGGCTCACCACAACCTCTGCCTCCCGGGTTCAAGCGATTCTCCTCCCTCAGCCTCCTGAGTAGCTGGGCTTACAGGCATGCGCCACCACGCCCAGCTAATTCTAATTTTGTATTTTTAGTAGAGACAGGGTTTCTCCATGTTGGTCAGGCTGGTCTCAAACTTCTGACCTCAGGTTGTCCGCCTGTCTTGGACTCCCAAAGTGCTGAGATTACAGGCGTGAGCCACTGTGCCTGGCTGTTGGTGGCTGTTTATATGAGAGAAGAATGTGTGTTTGAGAAGAGAGATTACCCACCCAATTAGCATGTATTGTGGCAGTTACCTTTTGACACGAAGGCCATAACTTTATAATTTTCATATCTCCATTAAGTAGTGGAGACAGTTTTATATTAACCGGTGTTTCTGCTATCAGAGTCCTTCAGTTTCTTCTTCCCTCACCCTCCAACCAAAGATTAGGAAATAATGAAGCTAAGACCCTGGTTTACTTAACTTGGCATAATATAATGTAAAACATCTTACATTATTACCTCAGTTGGTATTGGAGTCATGACACCAAAATAAAGAAAAAAAGGAAAAAAATTACATTTCCATAACTATTTGCATTAAAATGCCCCTCCTCATACACATATCATCCCTTTAATTCTTATATCATTAAATGTGTTTCACTGATTGGGGTAAGATCAGGCGGCTGGCATATAGAGAAGTTGAACTTGAACCTTCGTCGTCGATGTCAAATGCTATATTACACTGTTCAACACTATTTAAGAAAAAAAAATGATGCTTTATAGATGATCCATATATTGTCTCATTCTTACCAGAGCTTCATCTGTTTCATAGATAAGGAAACACAAGCTTTCAATGTCTTCCCTACAGGTTCAGGATTAGACTTTGGTAAACGTTTTGGCTTTTTTTTTTTTTGAGACTCAGTTTTTGCTCTTGCCACCCAGGCTTGAGTGTAATGACGTAGCTCACTGCAAGCGCCGCCTTTTATGAGTGATTCCCTTGCCTCAGCCTCCTGAAGTAGCTGGGATTACAGACGCACTGCTAAATTTGTTTTTTTTACTTTTAGTAGACGGGGTTTCACCATGTTGGCCAGGCTGGTCTTGAACTCCTGACCTCAGATGATCCATCCCCTTCAGCCTCCAAAAGTGCTGGAATTACAGGTGTGAGCTACCATGCCCAGCCTACTCATATCTTAGCTTTCATGATTTTGAGAAATAATGTGATTCTCTAAAGAAGCCAACACAATATAGTAGGGCATGGTGGCTCACACCTGTAATTTCAACACTTTGGGAGGGTAAGGCAGGAGGATCACTTGAGTCCAATAGTTCAAGACCAGCCTGGGCAACATAGTGAGACTCTGTCTCTACAGGTAATACAAAAAATTAGCTGGGCATTGTGGCACATGCCTGTCGTCCCTGCTGCTTGGGAAGCTGATGTAGGAGGATCCGTTGAGCCCAGGAGGTTGAGGGTGCAGTGAACAGTAGTCATGTCACTACACACCAGCCTGGGTGACAGAGCAAGACCCTTTCTCAAAAAACAAAAGAAGCTGGCCGGGCGCAATGGCTTATGCCTGTAATCTTAGCACTTTGGGAGGCTGAGGTAGATGGATCATAAGGTCAGAAAATGGAGACCATACTGGCTAACACAGTCAAACCTTGTCTCTACCCAAAATATAAAAAATTAGCTGGGTGTGGTGGTACATGCCTGTAGTACCAACTACTCAGGAGGCTGAGGCAGGAGAAGGGCTTGAACCCGGGTGGCAGAGGTTGCAGGGAGCTGAGATCACGCCATTGCACACCAGCCTGGGCAACAGAGCAAGACTCCATCTCAAAAAAATAAAAAATAAAAACCCAACATTAATGAAATTTCCATCTTTACATTTCCTTATACAATCAGATTAAAAGACATAGGTGGCTTTTATTTTTAGAAATTTAGAGTTGGCCGCTATTCTATAATCCGTCCCTTCTGGACTTGCATGTAGTGCTGCCCACAAACCCCAGAGTTTTCATGCCCCTGTTTCCTGTTATTTTCATCCCCTCTTCTCCTAAACTCTTCTAGTCCTGGATGGTACCTTATGTGACCAACTCTTGTTTTCACTTTAGGGAAATACCCAAAATATTAAATAGAAGTTTGAAATATAGTTTATACTTTTCAGGGATTAGCTTTTTAGTCATTTGAAATGTAACTGACCCTTGAACAACTTGGGGGTCAGGGGTATTCCCGTCCCAATCCTGCAGTAAAAAAATCTGCATATAGGCTGGGCATGGTGGCTCACACCTGTAATCCCAGCATTTGAGGAGGCCGAGGTGGGCTGATCACTTGAGGTCAGAAGTTCAAGACCAGCCTGCTAACATGGTGAAACCCTGTTTCTACTAAAAATACAAAAAGTTAGTTGGGCATGGTGGTGTGCACCTGTAATCCTAACTGCTTGGGAAGCTGAGGCAGGAGAATTGCTTGAGCCCGGGAGGTGGAGGTTGCAGTGAGATGAGATCAAGACATTGTACTCCAGCTTGGGCAACAAGAGCGAATCTCCATCTCAAAACAAACAAAAAAAATCTACCTATAACTTTGAACTTACCCAGAACTTAACTACTAATAGGCTTCTGTTTAGGAGAGGCCTTACTGATAGCATAAACAGTTGATTAACACATCTTTTGTGTTATATGTATTATAAACTGCATTATTACAATAATGTAAACTAGAGAAAAGAAAATGTGTTAGGAAAATTATAAGGAAGGCCAGGCGTGGTGGCTCATGTCTGTAATCCCAGCACTTTGAGAGGCTAAGGTGGGTGGATCACTTCAGGTCAGGAATTTGAGACCAGCCAGGCCACCATAGTGACACCCTGTCTCTACTAAAATTACAAAAACTAGCTGGGTGTGGCGGTGTGCACCTGTAGTCCCAGCTACTTGGGAGGCTGAGGCATGAGAATCACTTGAACCTGAGAAGTAGAGGTTGCAGTGAGCCCACATTGTGCAACCGCACTCCAGCCTAGGTGATGGAGCGAGACTTGGTCTCAACAAAAAGAAAATTATAAGGAAGAAAAAGTATATTAACTATTCATTAGGTGGAAGTAGATCATCATAAAGGTCTTCATCATTGTCTTCATGCTGAGTTGGCCGAGAAGGAGGAAAAGGAAGGGTTGGTTTTGCCATCTTAGGGATGGCAGAGGCAGAAGAAGATTCACATATAAGTGGACCCATGTGGTTCAGACTCATGCTGTTCAAGGGTCAACTGTAATTTGTTTTATGATAATCACTAGTAGGGGAAATATCTAGGAGAAGACTTGGTGTTAAGGGAAGCTAAGCTCAGATTTAAAGTTGTCGCTGAAGGCTGGGCATGGTGGCTCACGCCTGTAATCCTCACATTTTGGAAGGCCAAGGTGGTTGGATCACCTAAGCATAGGAGTTAGAGACTAGCCTGGCCAACATGGCACAACCCTGTCTCTACAAAAAAATACAAAACTTAGCTGGGCATGGTGTTGCACACCTGTAGTTCTAGCTACTCAGGAAGTTAAGTTGGGAGTATTGCTTGAGCCCGAGAGGTGGAGGTTGCATCGAGCCAAGAGTGCATCACTGCACTCCAGTCTAGGCAACAGAGTGAGACTCTGTCTCAAAATAAATAATCACTGAGTGCCCTAAAAGTGAATAATTAATGCGATGCAGTTAATTCAGTGCAGTGCAACGGGACCTGGTTGCATTGATAAATGAGTTTTAACTGGGACTTTGCCACCAACTATTATGTTGTCCCGGCTTTGTTTTTTCCACCTCTTTGAGCCTTGGTTATTAGGAACACTGAGGATAGGTGTGGGAAGGAGGAAGGTTAGTAAGGAGCAGGTTACAGGAAGAGGTTATCTGGGATTTGGTTAAGGAAGGTAGAGATGAGATCATGGCTCACGGCAGCCTCAACCTCCTGGGCTTAAGTGATCCTCCCACCTCAGCTTCCAGAGTAGTTGGGACTACAGTGTGCACCACACCCGGCTAATTAAAAGAAATGTTTTTTTGTAGAGACAGGGTCTCACTGTGTTACCCATGTTGGTCTTGAGCTCTGGACTCCCGTGCTCCCCCACAGTGCTAAAACTACCGGCATGAGCCACCATGCCCTGCGGCGATTTAGAAAATACTATAGAAAGTGGTTTCTATAATTCATCCCTCCCCACCCCCACTTGATGAGGGTGGCATGAATCTAGAAATGGCAACATGTGGCTGTGGCCAGACTATAGCAAACAAAAAGCCAGTGAGCATTTAGGGCGATGCTCATGTTTCACCTGTGAAGACAAAACATCTTGGGCTGTGATTAGGAGAGGGGAATAATATTGGGTGGAAATGATAAGTATAATTATAACAATCGTATCTTATTCTCCGCCTCCCCCGCAACCCGTACTTCTATATAATAGCTATTGTTCTTTCCTTTTTTGGGGGGATGGAGTCTT